CCACAAAAACAGAACACCCACCCACCCACTCGCATTAAGGTCGCAGATCGGACAAAACAATAAGGAAGCGCCCTGTCCCACATGGATATTAGAATAATGCAACAAAAGCATATCAGGGATATGCATGCAAATTCGGGGGGCACAAGACAGCCGGCGGCAAAAGAAAAACCATTGGCAAATATGCTGAAAACTGGACGCAGTTGGAGAGATTTTTGGCCAGGCTGTGAAATCCCCAGGACTTCTCCACAAAGGTGACACAGTTGGGCGCTGATTTATGAGCCATATATATCTGCAATATATAGGGAACACACAACTATATAGGTATGTGCCTAACAATGTAAATGTGCAGAGAGAAAATTTGTTTCAAAAAGAATAAAATTTGTTATCAATAATAATAATAAATTGTATAACTCACGTTTCTGAGTTAACATTAACAAAATTACCATCTAAAAAATATAATTTACTTGCTACATATCTTTTTGTTATTTATTTGCAAAGTCGATTGGGCTTTGATATATATTTCTTTCTGTGTACTTTTCCTGCGTGTGTTTTTCGCTTTTGGTGACTTTGCATATTCCACTTGGGCGGAAATTTATTAGAAGAGGTCGAAAACCTGTAAAGTCATGTGCCGAAGGACGTGCAGGACACACTTGCACACCTTCAGTTGGCACCCTGCTACACCTCCCCCTCCCTCCCTCCCCCCTTCCAGCTCCCTCTTCCGTTTTCCGATCCCGATCCTGGCCAGACCGCATATATATCTCACCGCTCTTTGTATCTTCCTGCCACTCATGCATATGCAAATTGCACTGGCTGGCCATGTGACCCAGTTTGATTGTGGGCGGTTGGCCTCTGCCCCTCCACCCACTTCCTCCTCTCACCCCCACCCCCTCGTCCTTGCCAGAACCCACAATTCGTGCCTCGTTTTGTTTGCGTATTTTTCCCCATTTTGTCGCTGGAGCCTGCCGTTTCCCATTGTCGATTGTTTTTGCCTGTTGATGTTTTTGCATGACAAACAAAAATTATAATTGCACTTGAAATTGGCACGATGGGTTGGGAAGGTGGGTGCGTTTGTGTTATCTCACACGAGAAATGTGCGAAATCATTGGAGAGATTACTTCAGAGTTTCAATTCCATACTCGCTGTAAATAGAATATGTAAAACCTTGAACTACATAGATTGGAAGAGTCTCTGAATGAAGGTCAGAAAGTTTTGTCAGTGATAACGATTAGATAAAGGGTTTTCGGCTTTTATGTTAAACATATGCATGATTAATTGGGATTTTATCTTAAGGTTAAAATTTTAATGACGATACAAAGAACAAAGATGAAATTAACAACTGAAGTTAAAAAAAAACAAGAAAGAAAGAGAATGTTATGTATTTATGAAATTCTCACAAATATGTATTTTTATTTTGGGATTTTCAGGAAAAATAATATTTTCATAAGACCTAATGAAGTTGTAGCAATAAATTCAAGGGGAGAAGGGGATGGAGTGCAGGAGCATCCAGCCCGTAAAAATAAAGTCCAGTCCAATCGAATAGAATCATTAACAGGACCTCTGTTCTGTGCCAGAAAACCAGACTCAAACCCAATCTATAAGTATTTATGCAGATGGTTTTGGGCGCACCGAAAAATTTGTTGCTTGCTTACTTTTTGCACACACAGATTTTAATATTCACATGCGTGTGTAGGTGTTTTTGTGTTGGATTTTTGTCGAGCAGATTTTTTTCGTTTCTCCGTTTTTGGACCGTATCACTTTGACAAACATGCAGATTATCCCGGAATTATTAATTATTGTATCTGCAAACACGAGCCGCCCCTTCAGCTGTCCTTTCGTGTGTATCTGTGCGAGGGAGCTGCCACAAAAGAGCATTCTGTGTTAAACATTTTTGGCAACAGACAAAACGAGATGACTAATTGGTAAGCCAACTGAGATTTTTAACTTGGACCGTAATTTGCATTTTACATTTTATGTCAAAAAGTTTATTTTTAATAATAGATACTTTTATTTATTTATATTTATAGAATACCATTACGTGTTGTAAATATAATTACTTATACAGTTGGTTATTTTAAATATAATTAGAGTTTTCCTCTTTATACATATGTATATGATTTTCACTTATTTTGTTAAAGCATTTCGCTTTTACCAAACTAATAATAAACCTCCTGCCATCAACGATAAATTTCTTAACTTTTGTGAGTATAAATTGTTTAGAAACTGTTGTTCTCTCGAAATACTTTTCAGCACTCACATCTTCTTGCAAGAGATAAATCTTAGCTTATGAGATTTTTGGATCTTTTGCAAAATGTTTGTTTCGGCTGCAGCTAAAGACATTTCTTATGAATTTTTTTTTATACATATAAGACTTCTACCACTTTTAAGCCGCTCCACTTTTGGATCTTTGGTCTTGGTAGTTCCTCAAGAACGCTGGCAGCCTTGAGATATTTTCAGTTTGTATCTTTTTGCGGTTTCTGCTGGGGAACTTCTTGGAGTTTTCCGAATGTGCGTGTGGTCGCCGTTTTCCAGCTCCTCTCCTGCTGTTTTCCTCCTGTTTGCCCCGTTCGTCGGCCAATCACTTAATGCGCCTTTAATTTGCGGGGCCTTTCTGCTTTTGGCCCCAAGTTGCAGGGAATGAGGCGCTAATGTGTTTCGGTTTGCTCCCCGGGAAAAAGGCAAAGGCAAACATATCACTTGACGCGCCTAATGAGTCCGGGAGGGGGTGGTCTTTTCATCGGGGGATGGGGGATGGGGTTTTCCAATGCGGCAGATATTACCGTTAGCGACTTTGACTAAGTTGCGGCCAACAGCATTTGTTGCTGCTGTCGACAACTAACTATTTATAAAGAATTTCCTTCCTTTTTGTAAACAAATGGATTTTACACAGAAAAAAAAGATCGGTACCGAGATATAAAACATCTCATTGCATCCTGATGTAATATATTTAATAAAAAATCATTTGTTCATTTTTTCCTACAAAACTATTTTTGGAATTCAAATTGTTTTTTAACTAAATTAATAAAAATAAATTTCCAGTATCACAATTTATATAATACATTGTTTTTTTTTAATTTCAAAGTTAGAAAGAAAAAATAGGCATAACATATATTTTATGCAGGATAAAAAATTAATTTTCGTGTAGGCCAACTAAGAGATGAGCCCCACTTTTTTCCACCGCCACCTCCCACTTCAATTTTTCATCTGCTTTCAACAACTGGCACAATGGAATTGCATTGAAAACAAACAGTTAAGAATGTTTATAAACAAAACATAGAAAGAATGCGGTGGGTGGGAGGCCGATAAATGGGCGGGGCTGGGGCCAAAGTGGCGCAGAAGGTGAAAGTATAACATTGAATGTAAATAGTAAGTGGAGGTGCGAAAAAAATGCGTAAACAAAAATTGCATTGCAACAAAAAATGAGGCTGCAACATGGAAATGACACGCGAGCAACATGTTGCTAAGTCCCTCGCAACATCAACAAAAGATGAGAGAGCACAAAAAATGAGAGGAGTGTTTCAAGAGAGCGAGTTCATTTTCGAAGTTCGAATTTCGAAGAGAGTTTTTGGTGAGTGTGTGGGTGTGATATGAAAAATAACATTGAATTTTCATGCCGGCTGCTGTTGTTGTTGTTTTTGCAATTTTACATGCAGCTGAAAAACAGCAACAAAGGAGAAAAAAAACCAGGGAAATGCTGAAAGCCCTGCCTCCCCCTTTTTTAACCCCCACCACTCCCACCAGACATTGACCTTGATAGTGGTCGTTTTTGTTGCTGTTCCTTGGTTGATTGAATGGCAAAAATGTTGTTGGTTTTTTAGTTGCCAATGAAACAGATTATAATGGAACCCAATATGTTCGATAATAATGTTGGTTTGTTTGCTTTGGCCTATTTGAGACTGATACACTTTTAATGGGCAGGTGGGGAAATTGATATCCCAAAAAAAAATTACCCCGGATTATTAGTCAGACAAAGTCTGTTCTGCAGCCAAATCAGCCCAATACTGACCACCTTTTTATACCAGTTTACTTACTATATTATTTTTTGAATAAATTTATATTATTTGATAATTAATTAATTAATTAATATATTCTTAAACATAAAACGAAAAATTATACATTAACGAGATTGCAAAATATAAGCATTATAATGTATAAACCCTTTAACGAAGGTTTTTATTATTATATTGATCATGTTAACAAAAAGTGACAATGCTTTTATTATGGGCTTGGTTTGCCGGAGAACCTATTGTGGTTTTTATCATTTTATAACTTGTCACTTTATCACGGCTGAAGCACTACCTATGTTATATCAAAATTTTCCATAATATTTTCGTAATGTTTTTGTAGGGCAGTATGGCCAAATTCAAATATTGTAGCATTGATAACATATAACACTTAGAAATTGTGTTGTTCTCTAATATAAAACGGCTTGGTTGTAATTAAATAGTTTAAAATAATTTATTTGGTTAAAGGCGAACCATCTGATAAGAAATGCATTCTGCCAAATTTGTATATTCTGACATCCACAGAAGTTCAATGGCAGGTATAATTGGCAGGTGTTGCAGTTTTAATAATTTTTAAACATTCTTTGTGAAAAAATCAAGCTGAGATAGGGTAATTTAATATAACATTAATACCTTAACATTTTTTGTTTTGTTATTTTGGGCGTCGTCAGCAGCAACATAAACAATTTGCCAGCGCCAGCGAATGATAACTGCAACGAAAATCTGCGAAAATTCCCGATTAGAACGTAAGCCAGAATAAATTCACCCGCTCCGGGAGACTCTCTCCTCTCTCCATTTCACTCGGGAAACCCTGGGGAGAAGTTCATTTTCCCCGAACTCTCGACTCTCTTTCTTTCCCTCTCTCTCGTTGTGGCAAACCGGCAACCGAAGTTGCTGCCGTTCTGTTGCTGCTGTTGCCGTTGCTGTTGCTGCTGCAGATGTTGCTGCCGCGATGTTGCTGCTGTTGCCGCCGTCGTCAGTCGCTCGAAACGAATTTGAAATTCAGTTTTTGACTCGACGTCGCCGCAATTGGACGTGAGCCTCTCGCGTGTTGCCCCAAAAAATCGAACAGAGAATTCTGAACGGAATACGAGACTTTTTTCAAGTTATGTGAAACACAAGCGGATTAAACAAAACACAAAAATATCAACGAAATATTCGCCACAAATACCAAGCAATCGATCATCGCGCCGTGCAAAGGAAACAAATGTTTTGAAATATATTACCACAAATATTTTGTGTTCAGTGATACACCAAAAAAAGTTACCGAAAAGCTAAACAAAATTTAATAAGCAATCCATTGTTGAAATAATTGGCCTGAATCTGATTCGATTAGTTAGCAAAAGACAACCAGAAACAGTTAAACAAATCAATAAACAAATATCCGTTGGAGTATAAAAGCAAATCAGCGGGTAAGTGGGCAGGGAAATGAAAAAGGAAAATGGAAAATCAAACCTGGATATTGAAAACTTTTACGCAGCGGATTACTTGGCGATTTGGGTTGAGCTTCTGTAGGCGAGTGTAAATCTTCGTAGCGGAGATCAACGGAATTTCCCTTTGATAAGGGAATTACCAAATCAAAATATGGTAAAAGTTGAATTCTCCAATCTTCAAAGTGCGGTGACTAATTGAAATGAAGAAAAGAAGAAAGCATCTCAGAGGAAGTTGGGCCGTAAAAAACAAGATTTATGGGAGGAAGTTGGATAAACGCATAGGAATTATTCAAATAAGCAAGTGAAGGATTATATCTGATTCCAAACAAAATTCCCAGAAAGTGTGCGATGTGTCTATCAAACAGATATCTGTTTATCCATATAGAATTACGGTCAAGTGATGAGTGATTTTTTGTGGAACCAACCGAGCAGCAGATATCAGTTGTGGCTTTATGGCAGCATAGAGCACAGAACTCTCGTGGCGACCCATTCGCCTCCAAGAGAATGTAAACAAATCATCTTGGAGTTTCGCTGGGGCTGCGGCTTCTCCCTTCTTCAAAGTGAAGAAACCGCCACAGACCCATGAAAATAAAAAAGATGGAAAAAAAAACTGAGAGAGACCTTTAATTATAACCAAATACTACATAGTTGAGGCGACACCTTTGTTTACCTGCACTTTTGTGCGCTGTGTTTTTTTCCATTCTGTAAATTCTGTAAATTTGTTTAAATTATTAGCAAACGCGCAACAAGTGCAGCAAAGCGGAGTTCATTATTTTTCCCCGATTCTGTTGCGTGTAAATCCTTTGGTAAATAAGTATCCCCCGCCTGTCGGCAGCGCAACTCATAAATTCACGCAAAATAAAATTTATGCTTCGACTGGAGTCGGAGTTGGGGATTCGGACAAGAAGATGTACGAAAGATCGCGATAAGATCTGGTCTTAAATGAGTTGTTAAACGGGAATCGTGGCCGCCATGGATATAAATAATAATAACAACTCAATCTGGAGTGGCGTGGGTAGATTGAAAAGTCCCCGGACAAGTGAACTCGTTGCGGTCACAAAGGTCCGTTCTCGAATCGGTTTCGTGTGAATGGGATCCATTCGGTTCTACCTGTTTGGCAAATTGAATTTTAATTCGGAATTGAGTTGTACACATGTCGGCCCTTTTTCACAGGATTTCCGCTTGCTGTTTAGCCGTTTTTCAAATGAAATCCCTAAGCTAATTAGTATGCCGAACGTGTGCCGATGAAATTTATAAGCCGACTAGCTTTTCTCCATAGTTGAAACATAAATTTCACAAAAGTGTCGTCTGCCCAGGTGCACAGGAAAAAACTAAAGATGTTCCCCAATATGGCATTAAATAAATAAATATTTATTTAACTGCTTAATCTACACAAACTTTTTTCTTTGTGTGTGCCTGACAACTGCATCAAAGAACTAAGTTCATTAAATCGGGCAACTTATGGCATACACCTAAGCTACTTACAAGGTAAACTCCGAACGAACCTCCAGCAGAAAGCAGAAAGTATCTTATGCAAATAGGTCTACATGGGGGACAGAAATAAAACATTGGCGTTGGAATATTAAGCAGTAAGAAATTGTAAACACAAAGCAAAATATTTGTTATACGCTTGTAAATTTATCGCGACAGAAAAGCCCAGGAAAAGCGTAGGAAAGCGAAAGGAAAAGGAAAAACCGAGGTGGGGGAAATTCGGGAGGCTGTTTTTCACGCTCAGCTGCCCGGCGGCCGAAGAGGAACTGGCACAAAGGAGCCGGGATCCGAACAACAAAAAAAACTTTATCGCAGTACTCGCAGGACATGAATTCACCCCACATCCTTGCCCTTGCCTCCTTCAGCCTTAATGCTGAGTGACATTGATGTGACATGCCATCATCTTGCCCCCCCCTCCGCCCTTCATCTTTGCTTTATTTAAAAGTTTCTCCTCTGCTTTTTTTCGCTTAATGCCTCGGAGGCGTGGCAAGTTTTGTTTGGTTAGTAGAGCACACACACCTTGTGGAGGAAAACAGCGCCCCTCGGGACCCTTGGCCCTCGCAAATAATAAATGATATGTAAACTAAGTCAAAAGTTGCCGTAGGTTGGCCAAATCACAACTTAGGGGCCAAAAACCGAGCCCAAAACCCAGTAATTTGTGCGTGTGGCCAAGCCCGAAGGCATTTGCTACAGATTAAAGATGAAGAGTAGGGAAAGCCAGCTTTAATTTAAAATACCCCAGAACCTACTTAATACACTCATTAAATTCTTGTATCTTATCGGTACAGATTAAAGATGAAGAGTAGGGAAAGCCAGCTTTAATTTAAAATACCCCAGAACCTACTTAATACACTCATTAAATTCTTGTATCTTATCGGTTGAATAAAAATATATCTTTAAATGGAAATAAAACGAAGAACACTTCCAAAATAATTCCAGTTAGTTCAGACTTATCTAAAACACATAAAACCAGAAAGACATCGTCTCACAGATTTTGCAACCATTATTTCCGAGGATAATTCCAACTGTCTGCCACATTTGTTCCACTTACGAGTCCGACAATCCCCCGCTGCGATATCAATGCCCTAACTATAATGTCTCAATATGCGAGCAACAAAAAAAAAATACCAGAGTGAAAGAGATACAAGTTCTTACCTGAGCCGAGTTTTCCAAGGCCCAGACAACTACGACGCACCCATATCAATTTCCTCTATGCGACCCAAAACGAATTAAAATTACACATTGACTGGCGGTCAAAAAAAAACGAAAGGGAGATATTTTTACTGTATAGGATAGTATAGTACAGACGGTAGGGATTTCGTAGATCCTTCGCCTTCAGTTCGAAGGCCTGTCGCCAATGGCCGGAGAACATTTATCATTGAAGCTAATAAATGCGTTTCCCTTACCTGACCGACACGAACCCAATTCCAATTGAGTCATATAGCAACCCCCGATATGAGGCCTGACTTTTGGGCTGTGTCCACCTAATTCTACTTCTTTTTTTCCTTTCTCCTCCGATTTTTTTTTTGTTTTTAACAACTTCCCAATCAAACAATTCAATTATGGAAGTGTATAAATTTCAGCCAGCTGTTCTTGTACTTGAACCGCAATTGTCTTTTGTCAAGTACTGCAAGAAGTTCTCCCGAAATAAATCAAGAAGGAATGGAAAGTGAAAGGAGAAAGGGAGAAATTGCACTTTATTTGGGGGGAGAAATGGAAAACCCTTTAATTGGGCTTGAAGTGTTTGAGTTATGATTGGAAGGGGGTGAATCTTCGTAATCCAGAATCAAATCGATGCCCGGGCAGCTGTCCTCCAAGTATGCCCAGGCTTTAAAGCAATTATCCAAGTGTGCCCAGCTTTAAGACAATTATCTAAGTGCTTTTGCCCATGCCTTTGATTGCGGATCCCTTCGTTCTTATCGAAACGAGTTACCCACGCTAATTGCCCCCCGTTCTCCGGCACCTGATTCCGAATTCGGTTAGGACTTTGATTTCCATTACGCTTCCTTTTGAGCCTGTCCATAACATTTCCGTTTTACGCTTCAGTTAAGACCGCTCCTTGGCCAAAAGGGCCGAGGGAAGTCGGGATGGTATACTGTACAGGCAAGACTTAATCTCAAAACAAATCGATTCCGTTGACTGTCTGTCTTGAGCTCGGGCTTCTCGGCCCTCCTTGGGTCTTTTTCAACACGATTTATTTCATTATTCTCGGCCGTTGCCGTTTTTTTTTTTTCGTATTTTATTTTTTTTAAGTTTTTGTCTGCTCAAGTTAATCACCCAGACCAGACAATTCAATCGATTTTCAAGAGAGGAGCGGGCCTTAAGCGAAAACTAAAGCTTTAAGTCCGATGAGCACATTTTCTTGAAACCCAATCTTGCCTTTGGAGATTTCTTTTCCGTTTTTATTTCGGTTTTACTTTTATTTTCGTCCGATTTCTTTTGTTATTTATTAGTTTGCTCTGCGCTGGACTTCAATTCAATTCAATTTTCTTTACAGCATTTCATCTTTGACATGTTTTGTGTGTCCGTCCGACTGACTGTCTGTTTGTCATTGTGTTTATATATCCAAGAGCTCCTCCGCCTTTTCCCCACTACCCCCTCCCCGTTTCCTCCTTCAGGCCCGTTGTCGTCTTCGTTTTTAATATCTTTTAATCTCCAATGTCAACAGCGGCTTACATTTGATTGCAAGACAACACACACAGATACTGTGTGTGTATGTATTTTTTTTTCGAGATCTTATCAGAGGCTGCTGCAGTGCCTCGAATGGAGACTCTCTTCCCTGCCGTTCCTCTCCAGAACTGTCAGCTAATTAAACGAAGCCAACTGGCAACATATGTTGGGAATGAGAATAAGATTCAGCCGAGGAACACGATTCACAGTCGCAATCACAATCACAATCCCAATCCCAAATCCAATCCCAACCTTGGACTTGGACTACCCCACACAGAACAGATGGGGAATTCTCGAGCGAGCTGTCAGTGCAACTGAGAGACAAGTCCCACAAACGGCAGCCAAATGTGAAGTTTCGATTAAAAACCCCTTCTACTCCTCTATCTACCTACTGCGCCTCATAATACGAGTACGAGTATATCGGATTGCCGTGCAGGACCATCAATCATCGGTCCTAACTCAATTGAACCCCGAAACCCCGAAACCTTAACGCCGAAAAAGGTTTCACCAAGTCAACCGTTTTTTCTCAATTATTTTGTCAGCATATGTGTGAAGAAAAAACACAACCGCAGCCAAAAAAAAGGATAATAATAATAGAAGTATTGAAAATAGAAAACCAAAAAAGAAAAGCAAGAAGCACACACGCTGGAAAAACTCGGGGTAAAACAATTGCCAGTGAGTCGACGGAAATCGGAAATCGGGGTGCAAAAGGGATAAAAATAGCAGCGCTGGCGAGCAGAGTAAATAAAAATAAATAGCAAAAAATCGAAACGCATTAGGGAAAATCAATAAAAATTAACATTTGGCCACAGGGGGGGTGGAGGGAGGTTCCAAGGGGGTGGTTAGGTGGAAGTTTTTATTCTATTCCATGTGTTCGCGGGAAAACGCGCAGGATCAGGCTAATTAAAGATAGGGAAACCGGCAATTGTTACGTGCCAGGACATCCATGTGTCAGATAATTAGCACACAAAAGGAGCACCAGGACCCATGCTGAGTACTTTTCAACTAACCAGAGTTTCTTTGTTTCCTTTTCGTATTTTTGCAGCTAAAAGGCCGCCAATGAAGGCTGTCCAGATGACAGCGATCGGGCAACGAATTTGACACGCACCCAAAAACTTCAAAGCGATTCGAAAACCGAAGCCGGGAAACCCTATAGATAATCCCCAGCGACCCGAAGATCGAGGTGCTAATACCACACAGCCCCCGCCCCTCTGAAATCACACGAAACAAATGTGGAAAATGCTGGATATGATGGATCTGTCCGAGGCCGAGCTCTTCATGTTCGACTGCGACGACTGCTCGGGCACGCCCCTCGCCCCACCGCCCCAGTTCCTCATCCCCCGCCCCCAAGGCCGCCAGCTCTGGCCGAGTTCACGGTGGTGCCACAGGACTGCAACGAGGAGCAGTTGGCCCAACAACAGTGGGACAGCGATGTCTGCCAGGCAATGCCGGTAAGTTCAAAATTTAGATATAAACTATAAGAAATGTTTTTAATATCGAGGAAATAATCAAACAGAACTGCCATTCCAAAAACCACCGAAATGTAATAGAAGAAGCTAATCAAACCAAAATCTTATCACACTGTAAAGCTGTCATTTCAATACCTTCACAAAAAAAATCATAAAAAATTAGAACTTACAATTCAAGCACAATAGTTTCAAAATAAATCCTTTTTTAACCTCAACTTGGTTCAACATTTTTCATCACCCTAACTTCTCCTCTAGAACTTCAGTCCTGAGCTTAGGTGACACTTCTTCCCTCGTTGTAAAACTTAGGCTGATTATAATTTTGAGGGCGTTGCAAATGGGATTTGCCCCCTGGTGGATGATTATGCAACCCTCTCCGCATTGCCATAATGAGGCCTGCATTTTGGCACAGCTGTCGGGATTTTCCCCTGAACTCCTGATTTTCCGCTTCCCGAAACGAGTTGCAAGTGATTTGGCTTTTTGTGAGAGGTGTCAGAATTGTATGTTGCCTTATTGAATTATGTGTTATATGCATATTACTATAACAAAAGCCTTCTTGTCGCCACTCAAGTGGTGGGTTGTGGCGGTAGGCGTGGCCGGGGGAGTTGATTATGAGCTGCTAGTAGTGCAAATAAATGTTAACAGTTGAGTAGGCACTCGAAAAATCAACTGAAGGATGCGATTTGATTTATTGACGGTTAGAAATTGCGGCACCTGATTGGAAATCTGTTCGATTTGTGGATAAATAAAAAAAAGAAGGGGTAATATTTGTAACAGAAATGCTACTGAATTTGTTTCTCTTATTTAAAATTTCATTACACATTAAATACAAGTTGTTTTGCTCATATGATTTATAAAAATCAATACACTTTGAATTTAATGTAAGTCCCCCCTTTATCCAAGCTTTCCAACTTCTTTAAGGGCATTTAACTTTAAATCTGCCACCCAAACACGAAAAAAGGGACCCGATGAAAAATTGCCAACATGCCACGCCCACTCCGGCGCACATCGCCCACATTTCGGGTGCCGGCAGGAACCGCAAGGAATCACTTTAAAGCAAAGTGAAACAAATTTCTTTTGCGTTTCAAGTCCTTTTGGCCTCCAGTTGCCGGGGCAACAGCTGTTGCTTCTTGGAGCGTTGTTGCTGCCCTCATCATTATGAGGACTGTGAGGACTATAAGGACGATAAGGACGATGATGCCGATGCTGGCCATCCCCTTCGAACGGGCAGCGGGAACACAGTTACACAAATTACAATAACAATGAAAAGTTAAGCGGCAGCAACACGCAAAAAGGACAACAACTGTAGTGGCAACAAAAAGCATTTTTCGGCCGCCAGTCGTCGGCAACATATGGCCCGAAATCAACCCTCAACTTTAAAAGGTTGTCAGCGGTTACAAAGGCAAAAACCAAAAAACCAAAGAACCAAAAAAAAAAATAGATATTTCTATATAATTTTTTGTGCTGCCCAGCTAAAGCAGCATGATAGATAATTTTCCATGTGGAAAAACTGTAACGTAACTCGGCACTCGTCTCTAATCTGGGGCAAGTGTTTGTTTAGGCGCTGAAGTCTGGGGGTTCTGGTAAAACAAAGATCAAATTCCACATATCAACACCGCAGCGGTCATTGATAAAATTTCACGTGCTCCAAAAAGAAAAAAACGAACGAACGAACTCCAACCCCAGACTCTTTTTTGGCTCCAAGTCGAGTGTTTTCCACTTAATTTCCAACATGATAAATTTAAATAAATACGAGCATAACCCAAAACGAAACGCAACGAAATGGGAAAAAATGTATCCAAATAAACCGGATCTGTGTGTGGTCCCCGCGTCTTAGAGTATTTTTCTGTGTGGGCACTTGAGGCTGTCTCCGTTGATTTATGCTGACAAATCAAATGTTAATGTTAACATGCAGTTTATGTCAGAAAGCGTATCTCACGAGTTTCACTCTTAAGTATCCAAAATATCAGAAAAATAAATCCAGTGGAGAAAGATTATTTTAGATATTAGACGCCCAATGGGAAATTGCAATTCCACATAAATCGCAGGTAAACACATTAAAATCTCAACGAAATCAGCTTAAAATCAATTTGAGCAACCGAATCAATTTAATGGATTAGCGTTGACGAATAAAATTCAATGGCGGAAAGCTCTCTCGCCCATCAAATTGATAAGTTTAACGGGAATTGTGCCAATTTAAGGGGGTGTGCGAGTGTGCGTGTGTCTGTGGGTGTAATTGTCAACTGGCAGAAGGAAAAACGAGGGAAAATCCCACCGAGGAAAGCTTGAAAAAAGTCGGCGAGGAAAAAACCTTTAAAAGGCAAGCGGAAGTGGCATCCTCGCCAGACATGCGAAATTAAATTTCCACCGAGTGTAGTACGTGTGTATGTGTGTGTATGTGTCTGTTTGCGAGCGAAGGAGCAAAAATACTTGACAAGCAGCTTCTGATTTGCTCCAATGGGCGTGGCAGCAAATAATCCTTTTTCCAGCTTTCGCTTCCTTCTTCCCTGAAATATATTTGAACCTCTCCTTTAAGCAGACGAGAAACTGTTGAAGACGATGACAAAGGGGGGGACATTTCAGAGGGGGAAGGGGGCTGGAGGGGGTGAAGGACATCCAGACTTGGGTGTGTAGCAAATAGCATGACATTGATATCAAATGTCGTGAGAATGCGAAATTCCTTAGCTACTTCCTCTTCTATATATAGCTAAATTTTGTTGCCTTTGGCTTTTGTTGTAGTCTGCTTTTGGGCGCATTGGCTTTTGGTTTTCCGAGGCAGTTGGAGGTGGGTCGCTCGACTGAGTGGGTGGTGTTGGCATAGAGTGACAGGCCTGTTGTTGTTGTTGTTGCTGCTGTTTTTGCTGCTTAGTGTTGATGTTGTTTACAGTTGACATAGCCAGACACAGCTGCAGACAGTCGCAAAAATCAGGCTGAGAACAGGGGCTGAATGAAAAATATTTGTGTGCTCAAAAATTGAATTTTCATGCGAGGATATGTTCTTAAAAAATATACAAATATTCTTCTGCTTGAATAAATAAGAAATTTTTGTATATAAGCGAAAATGTAAGATAAATTGAAAGGGCTTTCCATCAAACTCAATCATCTTCACTTGTTTAAATCACTTTAAAGTTGGATAAATCTGTTTATTTTATTTAGAAATAAATACTTTGCTGGGGTTAAATAAGCTTCAATCTCTCTGTGAGATTTCAATGATTTGTTCCACCAGTAAATGTTTAAATACTTTAACATTAAAACGATTTAAGTTTAGGAATAACTGAATTTAAATTGCCAACTACCAGAGATGAATTTTCCATTTTCCGTTGCACTTTTCCACTTGCCCATTATCGGCGCCATCTTAGCCACATCGGCCCAACAAGTTTCGCAACTCATTACACCCTTCGAACGTCTTATGGGAATGGGGCTCAATCACGGGCTGTTTCCAAACAATTGCACTGCCAAGTGGTTACAAAAACCCGGAGGGGAGAAGCATCCACTCGGTGGAGAAGGAGCAGCCGGAGGAGGAGGATATCCACCAGGTCGATTGTCGATATGCACGTGCAATGAAATCGAAGTTGGAAGCCGGGGACTTGAGGGTGCTAAAAAAAAAGAAGGCGCCAGCCACACATGCATCGCATGTTCGAAAAACTTTTGCCATGTTATCGAAGCAGCCAAGTTCTAGCCTTTGTTGCTATTGCTGTTGCAAAATAGTTTTCATCCTGCAAGTGGCACGTGCTTGTTGCTGGCTTTTCCTTTTGTCGTGTTTTGATGGTGAAAACTTTTGTGTTTTTCTCATCAGGCACGAAAATGAAAACGCGCTAGTCGTTGACTTTGCTAGCGAAAAGTTGTTAACTTTAAAGTTTTTTTTTTTTTTGAAGCGGTGAGAACTTTTCTGTGGGCGGTGGTGGAAACCCCATTTTGAGGACTGATTTTGATGACTTGCCAAACGCTCGCCCATTTCTACAATGTTGTTTGAGCTTTTTTATGCACTTTGGCCACACTTAAAAATTGGGTCAAAGGCAAACATTTCACTTTATGGCCTACTCAAGTCGCCTCGTTTTTGCCGCCCTTCAGCCCGGTGATTTTTCATGATTAAAAAGTTGCCACAAGGCCGGAAAAACACTCGCACACTCCCACAGCAACTCACACGCATAAAAGTAAACAACATTTTGCAGCTTTGGCTGCGTTAATCTCACTTTGCCTTATTCCCGCTTTTTATTATTATTATTTTTTCGGGAGGGTGTAAACTTTAAGCCATAATTTTACATTCCGCCTCGCCCGAAACCCGCCGACTAATGGCTTTTGTTGTCTGCAACTTGAAGGAGGGCTTAATTATTTTATCGGCCAAGTTGTTCTTGATGCACAGAAAAAAAATACGGGTGTCTTATAAAAGATGCTAGGTTTTGAATGCAATACGCAATTCAAGAAAACATAATTTTTTTCCATGTGCCTACTGTTTGCGTTTCCCTGAATTCCCTAGACATAAATCGTTCAAACTCTTATCGCTATCTTTTGTTTACATTGCCTACTCCTTTTTTCCTGCCTTTCTTTATTTAATTTAATTTATGGAATGCCCAGGGGCTATGGAGTGTGTGTTGTTAAATAGGAAACGAGGCGGATGAGGGGTGAGCGGTTATTACAAACGGCCCAGATGGAAAGCCTTCAATCATACCGGTGGCACTGCTTATCTGAGCAAACAGGGCAACTCTACTCTGTTGTTATCGATAATGCGACTCTGTTTGCCTTGCCGCTTGTATTTTTTGTATTTTGTTTTTTATCTTCGGGTTAATCCGTAAGGCAGCTGGAAGCGTTTCGGTGGCAATCGACAACTGTCGCAATGTATACAGTTATTGCCCTCGCCGCCGATCTCCAGAAACCAGCTCCACTCTCTTATTTGTTTGGCCCCAAAATGAGCATTACAAATAGGTAAACGCCTTGCGAGTCCACAGTAACACATGTATTATAGATTTATCGATTATCAACGCACAAGCACGCAGTCACACACAATGCAGTTCAAAGTTGACTGGAAAATGTGTGAAGCGTACGAAATGGGAGAGGGAAACATTTCCGAAGCGAGACAAAAGGAAATTGTTTCATTTTCTTTTCACCGAAGAAAAAAAGCTGAATGACGCAAGTGTAATTTCTATAAATTCAATTGGGAATGTGGTAAAAAAAAAAGAGGGGTAAACCTATATTATTGTAGGGGAACGGATAGAGCATATATGTTTTGAAAAGGATTTTGTAACCTGTTGTAAAAGATAATTTTACTAAAATCTTTTTAATCGGTAATTTACAGTAAATTAAATTAAATTGATATTTAATTTGATATTCATTTTTGTCAAAAATACCTTAATATGTTCCATATTTCTATAGAGCCCTTGGCAATTCCCTCAAGCCCCTTCAGTGCTCCAAATTCAAATGAAATGAACTGATCGAAGCAAAAAGAAATGACAGGGGGAAAAACTCGTGTCAGGTCTCATTAATCAATTTGATTACGAGCGATGGAGCAGTTCCCCTGCCAGATTTCAAGCTTTTTGGCGTTGCACTGCACACACATGCCACACATAATTGTTTAATTTATTATTATTTGTATTTGGTTTTTGGGGTTCGGTTTTGGATTGGGCGATTTGTCTCCGAATGGGTTTCAAAACACAAATTTCTTAATTTTTATTTGTGTGCGTTTGGCTTGGCGGTGATAAGCGTTCCGAATGCGAGCAGCTTTGGGGCTCCCCGATTTTCCCCCACGCTCGATAATTTAAACAATTTCGCCATGTGGAAGGCGGCTGCTGGATGTCAATATTTTAATGGCTTATCGCCTGCGGCTAGATGGAAATGCTCTCTTGTAATTTCTGTTTGTTTACGCTCTCAATCCGTATTTGTTGCTCTCAATGAAGTATGAATAATATTTATATATGCTGCGAGCGCATGATTAATTACTTGGGATGATAAGCGTTTGGATGGCTTTGTGAGCAGCGAGTGCTTCCGCATTTTGCGGCAAAACTGTGCCACTCGTATTTGTGTTTGATGTGGGCAAATACAAATCAAAATCGGAAAGTTGGAAAAATGCTTTTAATAAATTAGTATATGCACAAAATGCATTACGAATTAAAGTGTAACCTACATTTGAAAACAAAGAGAGCCAGTTAAATACACACACTCATTCGGTCGCCGGCGAAATTATTTGCACAGCTGTCAAAGTTTGACCCCAATTTCTGTGTTTGGCCAAGCTGCAGCTCTCTCACTCGCTCCCTTTGTTGCCTTCTCGCTCACTCGCACTGTGCCTCTTGGCCGAAAATATTTTCCATGTTTTTGAGTGATTTATGCTGCGTGTGTGTTACCAACGACAGGTGCATTTGTGGAGGAGTTTTTCCGACTTCTTTCGTCGGCTGTTTTGCTTTTTTGAGCTTGACTCTCGGGTCAAAAGGTCCCACGAACACGAAATAAAATATGAAATAAATAAAAATGCTTAATGCAAAATATTTCACATTCAGACGGTTTATCTTTCTTTAGACAGGTGAGAGGCGGAAAGATGATAAGCATTGTTAGGAAATTTTACTAAAAAATATTAAAGAGCTGTTAAAGTTTGGCCTATCCAACAGTTCCAAAAATGAACTTCCTACTTATCAATCTTTATTCACTTTTTGTATCAACTGATTTCCCTTATTTATCCCCGACTTCATCATTTATTTAGCAACTTTTTTGCATGCCCAAGCATAAATTCAAAGGCAAATTGCCCGCCTTATCCCCACTCAGCTGACCTTAATTTCCTGGGCCTGGTCAAAAAAAAAAAAAATAAAATAAAAGCGGAAAAAAAGGTAAAACGCCTACACTTCCCAGTACCAATTTGAGGAAAAGCCAAGTAACCGAAAGGTTAACAGCCCAAGTCGCGTGCGCTGCGCTTTTGTTTGCATTTCGTTAGGCATATTTACGAAAATATTTTCCTCTTTCCAAAAGTTCGGTTTTCTTTTTGGCCGCGCGTTTCGGTCTTTGTTTATATGCAAAATGGCTTTGTGTTTGAGTTGAGCGTTGATTTACTCACATTTAACTTTTACTTTTCCCCCGACTTAATCCAGTGTTTCACCCTCTTCTATATCTTTCTAGATCTTGGATGCCAGCCTGTACAGCAGCCAGTCGTTGGCCACATCGGCCATGATAGCCGTGTTCTCGCTGCTCTTGGTCTTGATTGTTCTCATCTCGTCGCTGTTCGTTTGGAAGTAAGTACACTTAGAAAATAAAATAAAAAATTAGGGGGCTTACAAAAGAATAAAATGATGATGTAATGTTTGGTGTTTTAATCATATCAAATTGATAATAATATTATTGACACCAATTAAAATATATACCTGATTGGCAATATATTGAAATTTCTCACTGTGTCTGATGCAAAAGATCCCCGCAATGACTCAATTACTTGGCCTGGCCCACACACACACACACACGATGCTTTCCCCCCTGCAAAGGCAAACGCAAACGCCTTGTGTGGCTTTGTCTTTACTATTACAGCGGCTTGTCCCCTTCTGGCAACTACTTTTTTTTTTGTTGTTTTTGTTTTTCCTCTTTTCTTTACCGCAGTGCAAGCTGCAGACTTCTGAGGCTTTAAAGGAGGCGTTAACCATTGCCTGCAACATGTTGCTCTTTTGCCTTTATGATTTATGTGGCTCCAAACCGCAGGAAAAAAAGTTTCCAGTGGTAGATAGCTGAGATGCGATAAAGAGGCGGAGTTGCTGCATTTCATAGAAATTTTCGGAAGGCAGAAAGGCCAAGTTTTCCAAACAGTTGAGCCAAAGAATGCAGCAACATAAAATGCAGTTTTAAAGCACAAACCATTTAAGTTAGTTACAAAACATATCCCCAGGACGTTTCGTAAATGATTCAATTTCAAAGCAAAAGCAACCATGAAAATATTTTTGGCCCCTAAAAAACTTAATCAACTCATGCAACTCGTAGGATAATAAATTCCCTGCCAACACCGGCAAATAATATGCAGTTCAGGTGAGCGGGAAAAACGACGGTAGCTAAAAGTGTTGAGCCGCAAAAATGTTCACGCCATATAAAAAATGCAAGCAATGCATAAACATTATAAAACTATATCAAAAATGTATGTAAACATGCGAAAAAATGTGGGAAAATAGAAGAAAACAACCTAGAGAAATGAAAACCCATTTGCTAAAGCTTTCGAAACAGGGCTAGAGAGGAAAAGAGACGGGGAGAAGGAGGGAAAGAGAGAGAGGTGGAAAGGGAGGTAAAAAACGCGTTACCAAACGAATATTAATGTAGTCTACTTTTGAGCGGAGCCACACTGACCTATATGGCAATGTAACTGTGTGCGTGTGGGTGTGTGGGTGTGTGGGTGTGCGGGTGCACTTAAAACCGAAACTAAATTAAATTGAAATTTTAAATAAATGTTGCTGCAGCAGCTACAAGAAAAAACACGTGAGAAATGGTTCAAGCACACACACAAATCAACTTTTAGTTGGTCGAAAAAAACTCCACTCGCACAAGCACACACACACAAACACACACACGTAAAGATATAAAACAATTTACTTTTACAGTCTCCGCAAAAAAAACACTCGAAAAAACACAGTCAGATTGCAAACGAAATGAAATCTGCTGCAGAAATAAACCACAAAAGAGGAGCAGTAAAAAAAGGGGCGAATGAAACAAGCAATGGACATTGTTTGCATGTAATGCAGTGTGGAAACCGAGCCAGGAAAAGCTGGAAAAGCTTGGAAAAGATTTTTGCACGCACAGCAGAGTGGAGTTGAGTAGAGTAGAGAGCTAGATAATGGCCATAGGCAAGGCCAAAGCCTTACACAATTTTTTTTTTCGCCTTTAAAGGGTTAAAGAGTAAGTTAAGGATGTGGGTTTTCTGGGGGGATAGAGAAACCCCATCTTTTCCGCTCATTAACATCAACAAGTGTTGAAGTAACATTCTCGGGAGACCCAAAGGCAGTCCCAAAATCGATTTTCCTTTCAACAACAATACGCAAGTTGTTCGGAAATATTCATGGGTCCATAAGGGGAGGAGTTATTGCTACAAGCGATTTTCATACATATTCATTAAAGTTTGCTGACCGCACGCACGCACAGTGGGTGGAAAATGGCTGGGAAAATGTGGATAAGGGGGTGGGGTGACCCAAAAAAGGAGGGGGAAAAACAACACGGACTGTTGTTGTTGTGCTTCATCATTTTTGAGGCTATGGCGAGGCAAACAAAGGCAGCAAAAAATACAGGACAAACGAGCATCTTTATTACATAGTTATCTATGCATGCGTGTGGGTGTTTCTGCTTTAAGTGTCTAACTGACCTCCGCCCAGATATGACTATGTGTATATGTGTGTGTATGTCTATGTGTTTGTATGTGTGTTCGTGCCATTTTTGTGGCATTTATGATGTGGCACATTATTTTTGCTTTTATGTGCTGCGTGTCCTGGACCCGAGCAGCAAGCAAGGCAAAAAGGACGAAAACGAACACACAACTATGAATAACCATAAATAAAATAGCAACTAATTTTATTTATATTTTTGTTCGAGCCCCGAACAAATCAAATAATCATAATGCCACTGCAAGAAAAAGTTCGTGGCTTTGTTTCGTGGAATTCTTGATTCCAGCTTTTTCCGGCCGCTTTTGTGGCTTTTAAATTCTTCATAAATAATTAATTAAAATGCCCCGACGGCTTGCCCCGAACCGATTATCATATAAAATTCAAACCATAAATTGCATTTATTATGATGCATTCTGCCCTTTTTTATTCCATCCCTCTCCATTTCCGCTGGTAATTACCTTAATTATTTTAATAAACCGCCAGAGTGTTTTCAGCACTCTCCGATTGCCACACACTTTCCTGCAAATGTTTGCATATTGGAACTTTATTAATTACACGAGATGCGAGTGCCAAACCATATGCAACATGTGTGCGTGTTGCGGCAAATGGCACAAAAAAAAGGGTTGTGTTTAAAAAAAATCTGAAGGCCTTGTTATTAAAATTGTTAACATTGTCGTCAGTTAATAATATTCCAATAAATGCATGTGCTTAATTTGTACACAAATATTTTCCGCCAACAAATGGTGTGCGAAATATTTTACAAATTTAAGGCCGCAACAAAGTCGCGGCCTTGGCAAAAAGTTCATTCATATTAAATGAGCAGGGAAACCCTGACAACCATGAGAAGTAAAAGTTATGGCAGCATTAACATTGTTGACTCTTGTTAAATAAGTAAAATCAATTTAACCTGACTGTGGCCTCTTGTTTTTTTTTCTTTTTGCCTGTTTGTCATGTAAGGTTGTTGTTATCAAGTATGCAATAACAATCACAATTTCAGCTTATTACAGCCAAGTTGATCATCGCGGATGTCTTGGCAATTTCCCTTTTAATCAAATGCAACCCTGGCCCTCGGGTCTTCCAGAGTTGCCATGTGACTGTGTGACTCATGCCGTCAGCAGCTGTTCTTCCTCTTTTCCTGGTTTTGGTAATTTGATGCCTAGTCGAGTCTTGCCCTGCGGTTGTGTCTTTGCGGTCACTTTGTTTGTTGCCTGTCGTCTGGTCGACTGCAGTGAAATTATGCAATGGTCATTTCGAGGGGGAGTGCCGATGGGATGGGGGCTTTGGGATGGCAGACCACCAAAGTGGCGGTGTCGGTTTTGTGGCCCCAGTAAGCAGTCAAATAGCATTTACTTTGACTGCAGTTCAAACGAAATTGTTGCCTGGGAAAATGTGTTCATTAAGTGTGGTCAACAAAAAATGTTGAATATGACTTGGACTTCAGAGGAAAATTAATTTGTAGGTCGATTGACTATATAAAGAGAGTATATTCGTATGTCAATGGATTTGTGGAATCAACCGATTTTGTTCCATTCCTGACATTTGCATATGTGCTCTTACCTTTCTTTTTATCTATGCAGATCTTACTTTTTTTCTGAGTTTCTACATTGCCTGTTTAGTTACCTTGTTACAATCTCTTCGCCGGCAATTTCCATATCAAAGTCTTAGCACGCCAGCCTCCCCATTTTTTCAATACCTTGGGAATATTTGTAGTACTACTCCGTATTCTTTTCCCCAGTTCTATTTGTTTTTTGTTTCCCCCTTTGTAGTTTACTTTTTTACGTGCCGGGGCTTTTCGCCTTGCAACCCCCAAAAGTGGAAGAGTGGGCATGAGTGGCTGGAACTGTAGTTCAGAGTTCATAAATAAAAGATTCACTTCTTGCCAGGCAGTAACTCCCACACACGCACACAACAACAACAACATTGTTGCCCCTTTGGTTGCCGGCTACTTTTTACTGTAAATTGCTTATGCCAAAAGGAAAAACCCCGTGTCTGCCTTCAGCCCCCAAAGGTATTTCGCATTTCGCATTTGGCTTAAGCTCCGCTTCAACCCCTTTCTGCATATATCGAGCATACAAATGGTTTACTTTCTTGCCAAATTGTACGACACTCTGGGGGGTTGCCCTCGAGTCCATGGCCTCTCTTTATGGCCAGTTGGCCATAACGCTTAGAAATCAAACAAGCCTCTCAAAGGGTTAAGCCAACAAGACCTCCTTCCACTTTTCCCCATTCATTCTTGATTTCGTTTTTACGCCTCGTAAGTGAAATGAAATGAAATGAAGCACTCGCCCGGTTCGCAGTCAAGAGGCAGGGGACAAATGTCGAGTGCGGAGTGCCTTGGTTTTGCGGCATGCCACATTATTTAATTTACTTTTAAGAATATTCTGCCAGCCAGACAACTGGCAAGACGTTTTGGCCCGTCCACAGCCATTGCCATCGCCTCCTTGTCTTACTCTCACCCAAAAGTCAACAAGCTGCTCTTCAGCTGGCTAACATGAAATGTGAGAGTCTCGTGGGTGTGTGGGTGTGTGTGTGTGGGCTGTCTATTATATCCTGCAGGGAATGTGCGATATTGTACATTGCCAGATACAGTTTGTTACCCAGCCAATAAGGTCTTAAAGAATTTAATCTCGAAATGCCTGAAAAGCTCTTATTTTAATTGGATCAATTCGGCTTTTGCTTCAAATAATACAGGGAACTTAGTTTCCATATATAAATACATAAGTACATACATATATTAAAAGGATTTTAGTAAAATAGCGAGTAAGTCCTGAGCTTAAATTCAATAAAAATCATTATTCCTCGAGTAAATATTAGTAATTTTCTTAGTATCAAGAATTTGTATCTTAAAGTTAGCTTTTACTTAGGTCAAACAAAATTCGTATACGTCTGCTTTGCTAATTTTTTTTAGTCCTTCGGGGGTGAAACCCCGGAAAGTAGGCAAGCATTTTTAATGTCTGCCCACAACCAGTTTTCCACGTGTGCGTCTGTGTTTGCGTTGGCTGAGAGTTTTTACGAGCGACTTCCGTTTTGACATCGCAGCATGTTTACCTACAAGACATTACAAGGATGTCGGGCTCATCCTTTGCCAGTTACGTGGCGTCAATTTAATTTCACATTTTTCATTATACTTATGCCTGAGCGAAGTGGGTGGGATGGGAGGAATCCTCAAGGCTGTCTGTTGCCTTTGCCAGGGGCAACACTTAATTATGTTCATTATTTTCATGGCACGCGGTTGTCGTTCCTTGGGAATCCCCGTCCTTTCTGCAGGCTCATCATCATTCTGACATGCCTGCCGCTTTGTGCTCATTTAAATTGAATTTCCGCTGTGTGTGTGTTTGCTGCTTTGGCATTCTTTATTAATCAAATTGTTTTCGGGCAATTTCGGGAGAAGGAAAAAGCTCGGCCTTTGGCTTGTTTACCTGACATTTATCAAGGCGGCTCTGCCTCCTGTTGGTCATTACAAATCGATTTATCTTTGGCTCGGGCCGAGAACTTATGGCTCTATTAGCCTGTCAGAGGGAGGGGCTGAGTTGCAAAAGGCAACGCTAAATGTTTGCCAAAGCCGAGCAACATCATCATCATCATCAGTCTTCCTTGGCCATCCTTGAAGCACTTATTAATCGCATTCTTCTCTTCTTTTTTCCCTCGTTGCAGAAACAAGCGAAAGGTGCAGAATCTGCTCCCCTGCAAGACACCCACCCGCGGCCCTCTCAGTGGAGCCATGCCCCTCGGCGGTGGCACCTTGGGATCGGCGCACCACCATCATCATCACGGGATGTACGAGGATCCGGATGCCCACCTGGGTCACCACAGACCACTGGTGATGCACCGGCATCATCATCACCAGCAGCTGGCGCATCACCATCACTATCAGCAGCATCACTCAGAGGTTGGTATCTCTCATATATCCTTTATAATCCCATATAATATGATATTCCCGCCCTCAATCGACGGACAAACATCACGATGACAATCGCTGTCAAAACATTGCGCAGTCATTGTCTCGCACTCGAATTTCAGTTCTGTTTCTGATCCTGTCACATGCAATCCCATTGTAAGACGAAACCACATTTCCTTCTCGCCAAAGGATATCCCTTTCTGCATATTATTCATTTATGCCTAGGGCTCTTTATGCCCATTGTACGCCTCAATTTACACTTGAACTTGACATGGCACATTTAAACGGCGGACATATTCACAAGACATAATGTGAATATACGGCGTATCCTGTGTGTCGCCTACCCTTCAGACTTCAGTCAGCTTAATTTCAGCTCCTTTGTGTGCCTAAATATTTTACGACTCTGACGCCTCGAAAGCTTTTTCTGACCCAAAACGTGTTTTCTTTATGAAGGGACAGCACTCACCCTCGCCTTTATTTCATTTTTTCATATTTTATGTTCGAGTTTTGCGCTTTTGTCGGGGTAACTCATACTATACCATTATTTTGCCCGTCTGAAGTGTGTGTTTATTTTATTGTCTGATAAACAGCTTCTTTAGGGAGTCTCATATGAACTGGCAGACTAAATATATTCCTTCTTAATAATTTTGTATATTTTTGTTTCTTATTTAAAACTGTTTTCTGCTTATTATGTACTTTTCCAATCGTTTAAGTACTTGACCTATTTATAAAAATTCAAATGGTGGTTGGAAAAAAAACCCTTCAACTTTTACTCTTGATACTTTAACTGGGGTATTTTTACTTTCTTGTTTTTTCTTACGCATTTATTATTCATTTCTCGTGGCATTTTTAACTGCTTTTTTTTGCCTTTGTCAGCTTTGTTCTGTTTCAACAACTGCTTATGCTGCTCTGCTGCCTTCCCTTCTTGCTTGCCCCTTACAACTTGCCCCTTTTGCAACCGCCTCCTTGTCCTGTCACATTTCAAAGTCCTGCCCGAGGGTACGTGGCTGTAAAGCGGCTTACCAAGAAAAACCTTTCCTTTTCCGCAAGAGGGTTGCAATGCCACAACGGGCATAAATATGCCATAATATTGTATGGTATATTTAAAATTCTATTTTTAAATTCTGTAGGGTTACCTGGCTGTAAACAAGCTTTGATTTTTTTTTTTTTTTTTTTTTATTATTTTTAATTAAGAACAAAGTAAAATCGTCTTATAAATAATAGTATTTTTCTCTGTGCAGTCAAGAAAGTGAAAGTAGGGCCAACTCTTTTCCCACCCCTTTGCTTTAATTTTCCCTTTTCCTACGCAATAACTAACTAATTTATTTTCTTTGTTTTTACTTACAGCTGCTCCAAGGCAAAAGCATTCACTATCCCAGTGGCTATCCCATGACGCGTTCGCCACCGTTCCTGGTCAGCTCCTCACCTGGACCAGATCCCTATCGTTCTAATGACAATGTCTACGAGGAACTTGGACCGGGACGCGTTGACTCCGATGGTGAATCGGAGCCGCCACTGCACTCCGATGACGACTTCGCCGAGGACGAACTGTCGCTGCCAGGTGAATGCAGTTTCCAGAAGGATAACAACCCGCCCACAGCTGCAGGTGCCACGCCCTATCACGAAAGGGCGGCGGGAAGCGGCAGCAGCGGTACAGGAGCAGCAGGAGGAGCACCTGTTGCAGCAGCAACATCCTCGAACCTGCAACAGGTTACCCAAGAGCGCCACAGTGTCCTGAGCAGTGGTTCCTCCAGTGGTCAGGATGCCTCCACGGCAACAGCTTCCTCTGCCAGCAACAATAATCACGAAATGGCAGCGGGCTCGAGCAATCGTCGTACTACCAGGACGCGACAGCCGCGAAACACTCAGGATCAGGATCTCAACAACAGCAGCTCGACGGCGGACATTGCCGACTTGGCACCACTGTACGACAACCGCAGCAATCTGATGTCCCTCGGCTACATGGCTCGCTCCACAGCCCCACAATTCTACAATACCCTGGAACACGAAGTGGAGCGCAGGAATAGGATTAACGCGCAGTTGAGCAAAAACCCCGTGCCACCACTTTCCACGATCTACAGGGAACGCATTCGCTATCCCAACGCCAGTCAGCAGTATCCTTCCAGTGCGGCCAGTGGTTTAATGGCAGCCACGATGCGGGCGAGAACCCAACCGAGGGTATTGGATCGTCGATTGGCACCACATCAGCACCAGCACCACCGCATCCACGCCGCTCCAATGGCACAGGAGCCATCCTACTGCTACGCAGAGCCCATGTACAATGCGAATTATTACTACGAAAGTGCTGGTGGGGCAAGACCTTATGCCTCCACACTGCTACCCACTGCTGGGGATTATAGACACCCCTATGGGGATTCCAGCTTCGGTTCGGATTCGGGATATAGCCACCATACGCCCGCCAGTTCGATCGGACGACAGGACTACGATCTCGCCGAGCCACAGATGGTGAGCCAACCGAAGCCAAGCAAACTAAGTTCCGCATTGAACTTCAGTTGGAATCGCAATTCCCGGGGAAAGGGAACTTCAGGAGGAGCTGTGTCCAAGACTTCGGGAAACAGCAGCAACAGCAGCGGCGAGGCCACGAGTCCCAACAACAACAGCAGTGCCTGCTCCACCGTCACCTCCCAGTTGGAAAACAATAATGCTGCCAGTCTCTCACCAGCGTAGATAACTAAAACATTTAGGCACCCTAAATAGAATCCTTGTAAATAGAAGGGGGGTTTAAGTTAATACCCCTTGTACAGTTAGTCATATCTCGTAGGTTAAGTATACTAAATATCAAAACTGTCCTGCGTGTACATCGTCAAAGCAATAGTTATTAAACATACTGAGCCTAACTAAACTTCAAGAAGAGAACCCAAAGTTTCTCGATAGGTCTATCAAAGAGGGTTGCCATACCACCAAGTTTTCGCTCTGTTTCAAAAGCGAAACTTGTCGCAAAGCAAAGAACTTATAGGTCCTAAGTGTTTTTCCAATGTGATTACCAAATTCTACAATATATATAATACTAAACTAAACTAGAAACTGCAAAACTAATTTATAATCTAGTTCCATTAAACGTATGTCCATAATGTACTCTTAAGTTTAACTTTAGTTTTGTTTGTTATTTTAGTTTTTAAGTGAAGTATAAGAGAAGGAGAACTGCTAAAGAAAAATGCGTTGAACAGAAGGTCAACGAAATATACCAAAATATTATAAAAAATTTAAATCATGACATGAATTTTTATTTTTTCAAAGTTTTATGTTGCATTGGGTTTTTGTTTTACAAGAAAATTGTTGTGTGGAGGGGAAGATAACTTTTTGTGTTTATGGTTTGAAATCATTATTAACAATTGATTTTAAATTTGAAGCATACCTTTCGGCGCTGCTATAAACTGTTCTTCAGAATTTATTTTTTGGTTGCATATTTTTGTCAGCCACTGTAAATGTTACTGCTGCTGTTAATTAACAGCCAACGATTTTTTTACATTTCACCACGAGCTTATTAGTTTAACATGTTTATGTTAGTAAACATTTAACAGTCGAAATTATGTCAATGTTTTATAAACGTATTGTATGCCATTGTTGATTATTTTTGTTGAATTTTGTTGAACATTAACTGCAGTATTGCATTTAACCGCAGCCTTTGATGAAACGACAACCAAAGGCTCTAAAAAGACTGTTTACATATAAAAGAACAACATATTTACTTATTACCGAAACAATAATAAACTGTATAAACTAAATGCTAGTTGGTAAAGCTTTGTAAACTGTATCTTGACGAAAACTCCGAGCAAGAAGCGAATTCGAAAATCAGAGAAAACACCCATTAGGTATATCGAGTGAACCATTTTAGCGGGCGCCCTTGTCAATGAACCCCCGCGATATAGAGAACACTACCTAGGTTGTATCAGAACTGTAAATAGCAGATGGGGATTATGGCCTCCCCCTGCCTCGTAACCCGTAAAAATATATCCACTAATAGTCCCCATCCTCAAAAAATTCCCCAGCGATGTGTGTGAGGAAGCGAAATGTTAAATTTTCTTATATGAGCACAATGCAATGTATCCTATAAACCGTAGTCTATACAAACATACATAATCGTACGTAGAGTACACATAGCTTAGAATCGAAAAATGAACCCAAGACGATATGCTTATATTGATAAGGCCGATCCCTGGACCTCCCCTCCCACGAGTAGCAACTTTAAAGGATAAAAACTTAGCCTAGATTAACTTCTTCAGCCATCAGCCATATGATATGCAATAATTGCTTTAGATCGAGTTCAAGTCGTTGTGATTTTTGGAAAACCGCCTGTCAAAATCGAGGTCTCTATAAACAATATAAGGCGTATATACATAGATATGGTGTGGAACAGAACCAGATACATTAAATGCAGTAGCACAATCATCGAGCGAGTGACAACAAAAACGAACAGCAGCTTACAAGGACTAATCCTACAAATTACTAGATATATGGTTCTCAACTTATAGTTTTTCAAACCCACTGACAAAATTATTAAAGGTATTTAATTTCAATATATCTTGAGTTCCCCAATGGTTTCTATAGTTACCAGTCTCAATATTTTAAATCTTTTGATTTGAATCTTACATATCAAAGATCGTATTTATGTAATATAGCACACCTGGTTTCTAATACTATCAATATCAGTACAAACACTATATTAAAACAACAACTTTTATCCTAAACTTAAACCTTCCAAAGCAAACTCGATAAGAACTTTTTCTCCATCGCAAGTTGTACATACGGACGTCAATAAGAAACTTTTGCTGTAGCTCTTCCAAAAACTAAACAATAAATGTAAAATGTTAGAGAAAGTCTATGAAAACCTATGTTAGGCATCAAATTAAATTAATTTGAATCGTATGTAAATAATTGTTTTCCTGTTAATTTAACAAGAACTTTTGGACAGCATATCAAGCCAATGACTCGTATTTAAAGATCTTTCGTATACCAACTACATCCTTTTCTACAACTGCTTAGATTTTATATGGAATATGAAGAGCGTGTTTTAGTTTTAATGCAAGAAGAGAAAACAAAAAGGAGCGATTTAATCGAATTTATAATGTTTAATGGCAGTTAATCGAAGTAAACAGAAGTCCCAGTGGGAAAAAACCCAAACATTAATATAAATATCAATTACATTAATAAAATGATTAGCAATTAATTATGCCCCAACAACTAGTTAGTTTATACATTTTTTGTAAAACCAATTAAACAATTAGTTTCACCTTTTTCTATAAGCAGATATGGATAATAATTAAAAGAACGAAAAAGAAAACTATGAAAAATCAAATTATGAAATATGAAAAAGAATGCGACTTTTATTTGCTTTACGGATGATGGGTTGGTAATATGATTGGAATCTTTAACAATGCAAAAAGAATAAATTTCTTTTTGTACACAAAAAAAAATACATTTTAATATAAAATCTTGGTAAGTATATATCAATTCATTACTTTAAATTTTGACACTGCAACGTCTAATTGCAATTAAAAGTATATAAAAAATGTTTATAATCCTGAAATTCTTTCCCCGGCTATTCCTCCAAAAATGAGTGCCTTTCAAGAAGAGGCGTAAATCTGCAGCAAATTAAATATGAGCGCGTGTTCCTTGAAAAACGAGAGGGAAATTGCGGAGAACTGAGGAATTCAGTTTGTTTTAGCGCTTGTGCATGCAGTTAATGTGCTTATTTTAAAATTTAAATTGGCTTGCGCAGTGCGCACTTGAGTAAGGAGTCCACAAAAGAGTAAAAGGGGGTAAAAAGCATGTGTGTGCACACACTCCTACAAGACTCGCTTTAATAGAAAGTTTACCCTGCTCTCACTTTTCTTTTTCTTGGGGTTTTGCATAAAGCTCATGGTGTAATTAACAGTCACTTGCAGTGGCAAAAATGGGGAGTCCTTGCTAGAGTGTGTGTGGTTGTGTTAGAGATATATGTATCCCTATACGAGTATATGTGCCTGCATTAAGATAAACAACTTAATTATTTTCTCTGGGTGAACGAGATGCACTTTTGCTGCGGCTGCGAGCGGCATAAAAGGGAAAGGAACCACAGCTCGTCAAGTATATTTGCTGTTGATGAAAGATACAAGGCTTCAGTGGGCTAATTAAATACGTTCAAGATTGCCTGAAGATTTATAACAAGCTCAATCAACCTCGTTAGTAGGAGAAGGAAATGCTGCAAGATAATAACAAGTTTATTTCATCCAATCTGTTGGGTTCTCATACGTGTCCTCACTTTACAAATAATATAATTACGCAATGGACTAAATAGCTAAGTAATATTAAGCTTTAATCAAGCAAATTAATTGAAATTAAACCGTATGTCAGATACTTACAAGGAAAAGACACAGGCTTAAATTAAACTTCATATTTAATATAAAAATTAATCTAGCCAACAAACTAAAAATATAAAACCACAATTTCTGTAGCTTCTCTTTGACATTGGGCTATCATAAAGTTTAAAATGTGAAAAGTTGGAATTGAAAAGATAAAAGATAGGAAAAAAGTAGCATTTATTTATATGTGTTTTCGAACAACATTTGACTAGCATTGCATTGAGTGCAAAGGCAATTAGCTCGGTCTCCTGGAAACCTGAACTCTATTTTGTGTTAATCAAAAGTTTCAGTGTTTTCTCACTTCAATCCCCAAAACCCCTCACCTTTTAACAGCAAACTCTGAAAGTTATACTGGCAGTTGTGCCGGAGAGCGTTTTGTCATTCATTACAAATTTTCACACACGGCCCAATTAAATTATTTAGCCCCATACACACACTCACCCCGAATAGTTTTAATTAAATAATAGATACAAGCCACCTTAGCTACCCAACTCTGCCAGATGCTATGACTGCTTTTTTTCCTCATTCGGTAGTCAACTTTTGGCAGTTGCAAAAGTTTTCCAGAGGAAAACGACTCCCGAGACAAAAGCCTATGGCCGAATTACGTTGAATGTGTGTCAACTGTACCAAAATGTTCTAGTGTCTTCATCTCCTTCTCGTTTTCCCTCAACTATCTGCAGCTTATACTTGGGGAGCTTGTAGGACATTTAAAATTAATGTGCTATGGAGGAGTTTGAGAGCTTTCGAGACAAGCCGAAGACAAGTTGAGGACATGCAGCCGTTAACATAATCGTTCGAGCTTAGAGCACACATATTTCCACCCACTAAAGGGTGCTGTTCAACACTGTTCGAAGTTGTTTGAAGTTGTCAGTTGCTGCACTGGGCGTTCTTCATTCGAAAGTAGGTTTACTTGGTAATATTTAAAGGGGCTAACTTTAATTAACTGTTGGCTTTGACAGCAGTTTAGTTCTAAAAATATAGGTCAAAGTTGCACAGCGAAGTTAAAAGCAAGAAACAAGTTATCAGGATATAAATAATTGTTAAAGTTACTCCCTTAACCTGAACGTACCAAAATCCCTCAATATATGAGTTATTCAACATTGTTTAAAGTGCTTACAATTGAGGGCTGTACCAACCAATAAATTTCTTTCACAAGTATATTTTCTTAGAAAAATAAAACAATGACCTGAAATAAGAACGAGTAGCATTGTTCCACGAATTGTTTGCCAAGCACTCAAATGTGTCACAAAGGTCTTATCGCTTATCTTTCTGACCATAAGATATCGCAGGCGCATGTTTTGTAATTATCATTTTTAGGGGTTAATAATAATAACGCCCTACAGTAGCTATATGTGTTATATAAGTGCGAGAAATCAAGTGAACCTTTAAAAAAACTCTTATAAAAAGCGATATTTATAATAGTAGTTCCATCTAAAATTTAAAAGGAATCTTTAAAGTGTTTGCCTTTGTAATTTGTTACTATTAAAATTGAAAACAAACAAATATAGAAACACTCTTTGTTACAAGTCCATCCCTGGCTCCATTTGATCATAATCATACCATATTTATCGTGACCACTCATTAGATAACACCTGATCGATTTTTGACTTATGTCAGGTAATTACTTGATGACCAACCCCAGAATTTTCATGGCTTCAGTTCTTGATTTGAGGCCGAGTCACAAGCAAGCCATAATTTGCTATTATGTCAGCTAGGACATATTTATGGGGTCTTCTGTGCCTCTTGGTTTTTTACCAAGGAAGTGCCCAATCGCAGACCGGAGATTATATACAACTGTGTAATTTAACCGAAAGCATCGCTGTGGATCTTGATCAGGTACAAAATCTATACACCTAAGGTTATTTTTCATTAATTAACCTTAAATTTCCAACCAGTTCTCTGGCATTTGGTGGGAAGTGGCTCGTCAGCCATCTGGAACTGATTTCTGCACTGAGGTTAACATTACAGTGATACCACATAAAGAAAATGCTACTGTGCTGATCGATACCACATACGCGGTATCTCCAGATTATCCGTGGGTGAACCAGACCATGAATGCCACCCTCACCGTGGTGAATGCCTCAGCTGCCCCTGATGGCTTTAACTTCACCTATTGGAATCCACCTGGATACACTCCCTATACAGTTTACAAAGTCCTTTACACAGATTACACCGATGCAACCTTCCTGTGTGGCTATACAAATCAGACTGACAACTCGACTTCGTTTGGAATGATCCTCACCCGAGATCGTACCCCAACCACCGCAGCTCTGGATAAACTGCAGAGTTATGCATCCAGTTTATCTTCGAACTTCTTGAATGGCAGCATGGCGGTAATCACTCAGGGCGAAAGGTAAGTACCAATTGCATTTCTTTCATACTGATGAAAGTTCTGATAAACTGGTGAAAAATAAATAATATATTTAGATTATGCTTATATATCACTTTTACGTGTTCAATTTATATTACAGTTTCTTTTCTTCCAGTTGCTATGCACCATCGGGAGCCAATCCTTCTGCCATTATCTCCTTACTAGTGATTGCCCTGGCCTTCATATTGACCTTCAAATAATTCACTTTATACTTGGGAGTTTATATGTAATGTTAAGAAAGATCACAAGATTAGCTTTATTCTATCAAAAAATACCCCGTGGTCTAATTTAAAGTTAAATATGCATTGTACTCGATAAAAATGTAAACCTCAAATGAATAGATAAATAAATAAACTCTCATTCATATTCATACTCTTCTACGTTATTCATTAAATAGTCTTAAATGCGTCATACTTGAAAGTGTAATCTAAAATTAAACGTGATATCGGCTAAGAATTCTCTAACACTTGAAAGTTTGAAATTTTATAGTACTTTCCCGATCGCTACTTATTAAAAATGTTTCTTTATCGCATTTCTGACTTCTTTCACTTTTATTTTTCTATACTTTTGCATTCTTGTTTTTGTTTTCATTAATGACTCAGTGTCTGGTTGCGATAATGTTAAATCCGGAAATGAAGACGTTTCCTCTCTATATGTATATTCTATTTGGGGTGATAGATCACTAAAAGGCTTAGATAAAATGTTGCGTAGAACGCTTCAATTAATTTAATACCTGTTTCTGATATCAGCGAGTGAAGATAAGAAAACGTACCTGTTTATGACACCGTAGAGTGTAAGGAGTGAGTAATGGGAAATATAACAACAGCTTTTCAACTAGAAAAGCAGTAAGATAAAATTAAAAAACATCGTAATGATATCTGTAAGAAAAAGTAATAGAAATTCCCAGACCGCAAGTAAAAATGTGCTTGCAAAATATGATTAATAACCAGAATAAATGATATTGTAAATATTTTTATAAGATACGTACTTTTGTTACAAGGCAGCGAAATCAAATAAGGCAATAAACGTATTTACAGCTTTTTTATATACCAAATAAAACCTACATCCAGTCGGCAGCTAATGTTTGTTGATTTCGAAGCGTTTACTTGCACCCTAAATCAGTTTGGCCAATAAAACTTAAAAAAAAAGGTGCTACAATTAAATGAGTTTGCAACCAACAATAATAATTAAGGTGGGAATCTATTTTTGGCCGTGAGAATCACTTCTTGGAAACCATTTCCAAAGGCTTTGCAGGTAAGACAGCCTATTGACCAATGTTTGGGGGGAGTTTTCAAAGGAGCGCAGGCCAATAACAAAACCAACTGATTGCCAGAGCCTCAGGGGATTAGTCATGCCTTCGGAGCGATAACAGACGTCAGATGTACGTAAATCGGCGACGGAGCCGAGGCGCCTCCACATATGCAGGCATCGATAGATAATGGCTGCGAAAATACGGGAAAAGATACACGCCTATAAAAGCCAGCCGCCGATGGGAAGTCAGTTCAGTTGTACGTCGTACTCGCAGCGAACCGATCGCACAACCGGAACAATAAAGCGGAATTTATTGCAAAACCCCATCCGATACAAGTGACAAAACCCCGGTGACATCATGTGCAAAACTGTGATGATCTGTTTGGCCATCGTGGCCTCCATTTCGATGGTGCTGGCCCAAAATCCACAGACCTGCGCTCAAGCCACCAGCTTGGATTTTAACCAGACCGAAGTGAGTGAAATGTTTTTATAGAAAGGAGTTGAAAATATTTGAAAATTTGAAACTGAACTAGAGAAAGAAAAGGACATTATATTTAGAAATGGTATATCTTTGGACATTTTTAAATAATGCAGAAGGATTCATGCCCATCAAGAACTGATATTTCTATCATTAATGCAGTTCGAACAATACTACTGGACTACAAACTAAAGCTGCACAAATATTGATTCAATTAAGCAAACTTTTCGAATAGACATAAATGAAGATAATTTTATCCTAATCATGAACCCTTTTCTTTTCGAAATTTCCAGTTGGCTGGCCAGTGGGTGGAGGTGGCCCGCAACCCAGCTGCGAATGTGTCCTGCATTACGCTGAACGTTGCCATCTGGAACAACACCAACATGCTGGTCAACATCAGCCACTCGAGCACCAACCTCTCCACCTACGTGGACGTCTACGAAACTGCTAACATCACCTTGAATGCTACTAACCCTCTTGCTGGCTACAACGTGAGCATCGTGAATGGATCGCAGACGAAGTACGTCTGGGTGAAGCTGCTGCAGTTTGTGAACTCGACCTATGTGACGGGCTGCAGTTACACCGATGCCAACAATGCTTCCACCAGTGCCGGATTCATTTTGGCCAGGTCGAGCTACACTCCCGATGGCATCAAGATTGCCAACAACAATGCCTCTGCATCGTGGAGCAACTTCCAGCAGAACGTCTACGGCAATGTCACGCAATTGGGGTAAGTTTTGCCATTAAATTAGTTAACTCTTAAGATAATATTAATATATGTTGACATCTTACAGATGCTATGCCAGTTCTGCTGGAAAGAGTGTTCCTCTGACTCTGATTTCTGGCTTCCTGGCCTTTGCTCTGTTGCTGATCAAGTCCTAAGGAAGGATATGTAAATCACTGATCTGCCTAGCCACCATAAATGAAAGAACCTAACAAGCCAAAAACGTTGCCTTAGTAATTGCGTCATTCTCTTTATTTAGTTTTTAGTTGACTTTAAAAATCCCCGCACTCCGAAAGTGAGCCAAGGCGAAACGATGTCAATAAAAGTAAACCAAAATGGGTGAGGGCCCGTAAAAAAAAGCCCCCATCGAAAAGAACAAAAACTCGATAAAGGTGTAGAGACAGAGGAATCGGGTGTCTCGATACTCTGCTGCAATCAGTGCTTTAATTTGCTGGCAACTTGTTCAACGGCATGCGTGATAAGATAGCCGTAAAAAGATAACAAAATATATGACTCGGCCACCAAATCACAAAACATTCAATGGTTCTGCATTTCTGTTTTCCTTTTTTTTTGCTGTTTTGTTTTTATTTCTTTGCTAATATCTAACAAGCGACTCATAAATCAATCAATGGCCGCGTGCTTGATACGTTTTGCCACTGATTAATTGATTGACAAATCACTTCAGTTCACCGTTTGTTGCCAGCTAATTAGACTGGTTTAAGAGCAGTTGTGTTATCGTTTATTGCTGGGATTTCAATGGGTTTATCTATGAGGTTCCATGCCCTAATGACGATCATTATGCGATAGGAGAGAATCGAATCATTTCCGAGTGGTTTGTTACAGGGACTTAAAAGTATGATTGTTTTATAAGCTTAAAAAAAAAGATGTCGTCACGTACAAACTTGTGTATGATAACGTCGAAATAACTGATATGTCAGTGTCACACGCAGACAAAGCAGAATACTAACTGACACTTATATTGACACTGTAAATGACTTTGACCTTGATGGTAAACTAAAATATTTGCACTTAAAATCAAACCAGACAAAAAAGCTATCAGAATTCGAACTTATAAACAAACAAAAACACTAACAATTTTAATTGATAAGATGGGAAATTTAATAATAATATTGATGAGGGTGATGAGGGTGAATTACATAAATAGACATTACAACATTTTACTTATCAAACAATTTGTCTTCATTAAAACATTCTTATCAGAAATAACAGTTCAGTATCAAAACAGAATTAGGTAAGGGCAGACATAAGAATTAAAGAACCTTACTTACAGATAAAAGGAAACTATTTTATTAAAATTGTTATTAGAATATGGATATTCCAGTATGAAGTCATGTTTTGATTACTTTACTCGTATGTAAATATTCAGGTAAATGTACTTCCTTGGAGGGTCTCTCAATCTATTTTCTATCTGACTTGTGTATCTCACTTGGTCAGTTGTACGAGTAGTTGTCACCTGCACAAAAACAGACAAAAATCCTGCAGACACTTAATTGTCAGAACGAGAAAAGCCAGTCACGATGCTGGAACATCAGAGGAGGACAACTCAGTTAACGCACACACTCGATTCTGTGATTTGTTTACCCCACCGCTGCTGCCGAAAAGAAAACACTTAAAGTCCTGGCCAAGTCTCAAATCAGATACAAAATCCTCGGGAGCTTCTGGCTCTTACACACTTATCGAGCTTCGGGCTGGCTGTTGCTGATTTCTTGTTTATTTATTCAGCTTCAACCCAATCAGCCCACCCACACACACACATCCCGATCCTGATGCAAACAAACCCACACGAATGTAAACACAAGGCCACTAAATCACTGAACACTCTCAGCTTTGGCATTTACACCACCACCCACTCAGACCACCCAGTCCACCCAATCCATCCAGCCCCACCGAAGGACTCCAGCTTCTGTTCCTGCCCCTGATTTTGATTCCGATCCTGCCCCCTGCGACTTCTTTTGTTGCTGCGCTTGACCCGCGGCTCCTGTCCCCGTTCTCCCTATTCTTGGGGTTTGTTTATGTTTATTTGTTGGCACAATTTGGTTACATTGTTTGCTTACAATCTACTCATTGTTTGCAGGGTTCGTTGTTGTTCTTGAAATCAAGTTTACATCGATTAAGTAGCCGTAAAATCTGGTCCCAAGAATAGCACAAAGAATGTTTTCTAAGAAGTCTGTAAATTTCCACTTGAGAATATGTAAATTTTGTGACAGCGATAGCAGTATTTTATATATTTCTACCTTGTGGAGAGTTTATTAGATAAATTCCATTAAAGTTTTAGTTACTTTTACCTTATTGAAACAATAAAGAAAATAATCTACTGAAATATAAGATTAAATTAATTAAAGTAGAAGGGAATCCCACAGCTTAATTATTTTTATAGGAAATATTGAAAGGCGTTACCTACCCTGCATAAATGAATTAATATTTTCATATTCAACCAACAGATAGTGAAATTCCTTTGATTACAGCACGACATTCTTACACCTAACCAAGCCAAGGTATTCATGACATTCTCCGACAAACAACTAGACAATAATTATGCAGTCTCAAGTAGCTAATCATCCGAGAATCCCCACTCAGTTCAACACCGACAGCAAACTCAAACCGAAACCCAGAGCAAAGCCAACCGCAACAAAGTCCGGGCCAAGGCTTTTGGTCAAATGCCAGACAAACAAAGGACGCCTCCAATCAATGCTAATAGCAATCGTCCTGCAATATACTCAAAGTGCTTAGAAAACCGAAAGCCAAGAGCCACACACACACATACACTCAGATTCGTAGAGGGGCGCAAAAGTGGGTGGGTTTTCCGAGCTGGAGTAGACAAAACTATTAATTAATTTCCCAGTCACTGCAGGGCATCGACTTGGGGGAAATACCGCATGCCGTTGACATTTGAGTCAATACCGTCTTCGCTTCTTCCGATACCAATCTCTGTGAGCCAGGCCAACGAATTTGGCAAATGGCGTGAGACGTGTTTTTATGATAAGTCTAGGAGAGGACAATTTGCTTAGAAATTCATTCAACTTGTTCCTGGCTCCTTCAAACTGCAGATGTGTAATTGTTGAGGGGTTGCACAGGAGTGCGCTGTTATCATACAAATTGAAATCTTAGCCAAGTTTGTGGCACTCGAGTCTCAAGCATTTCGTAGTGGCAATCGTCACTCAAGTCTCGCTGCTACTAAGCTACTCAGCTGCACTGAGAAAAACAGAGAATTAAGAGAAATAAAGCAAGTTTTACCTCCGAGTCCTCTACTAATAATCAACTAGAAAGAAATATCTCAATAGGTTCTTTGCAATTCAATAGGTTGTGAACCTTTTTTCAGTTTATGTACAATTTTTGGCAAAGAGTAAAGAAGAAAATTATTTCTCTCACTGCCTCATCTGCTGTTTGAAACCCCTAATTTATGCTGATCCCTGGCCTTTCGCATAAGCGTTTTCACATTTGCATAGATTTCACAAAACTTGGCAACAAAAACATGATTTGATTTCCAGCAGGCAGCTGATAATACTTCTCAATATGCGTTTGTATGCATGTGTTTATGCGGTGCCACAGGTGGGGGTAATTGAATGGAGGTCCTCAGTCATTTACATTCAATTAACAGTTGTAGGCGAGAGCGAATTGGCATCTATGAGATACTTGCATGGCTTGTCTGGGCATTAGGACCCAACAACCTCCCATAAATATTCATGGACAACAGCAGGGACTTAGTTTAAAAGGGGTCCAAGATAAAGCAAGATGCCTATTGATAATATAAATGATTTAGACAATTTCATAAGATAAATAACACTGTGCGACAAAAAAATGTTTGAGTTGATTTTTTCTTATTTTTCACTTCTACTAGTCAAAATAAGAATACAAGTTTTTGGATTTGTTAATATCAATAGCCAATCAGCTTCTACGCACACTCAAAGGTCCCAAAAACGCGTGTTTTTGCATATTTCACAGCCTTATAATACCATATTGGGAAAATATTTTTTCACCGTTATAAGCGTTAATGCAAGTTCAATATCTATTAATTAAAATGTATTAAGCAAATATACCGTTAGGCTTTTTTAACAATGCTTTAAAATTTTTTTCTCCCAGCTCTATACTCTGGGCGACTTTGTATGGAACTTGTTACGCGAGGATACCTCTGAAAAAGCCAAAAAAATCAGAAAAAAATTTCACTTTTAAAAAAAATAATAGTTTATTGGAAGTAAAAAAAAAAATAATATTTTGTGTTAAATATTTTCATAATAATAATTTCATAAAATTTATCATAAAAAAAAAAATCCTATCACTTAGAAGGTGGCATAAATATTTTTGTGCATAACTTATGCCCCTTAACCGAAAACAATCAAAAAAGTAACTCAAACAAACATTTCGTTAAATTTTGTCGCACAGTGTAATCGATTTAAAGAAAAAGGTTATCTAGGGCATTTCTGCATCGAAGTAGTAATTGTAAAAGGTTGTCTAATGTCTGATAAGTTTAAGCCTCAGTATAATTTAAAAGATAACAGATTTACCCTACTACAAAAAATAATTTGTCAATAGTCGCTTGTCACTGTTGATTCATAACATACTTAACATCATAAATAATTATTTATCATGGCAGTGTAAAGCTGTAATATAATTTTCCCTTTAAAACGCCGCTCCTGGGCAATTCACATTTAAGCCTAATTTATGCGACACGAACTTGGACCTTTGTGTAATGGAACTGTGTTTTGTCTTTAGTTGACTTTGGGCTAATGCATAAGATAATTACTGTTCCAGAGAAAGTGTCTTATGGATTACGTATTCATCAAGCTTGGATGACTACTGATGAGACTTAAGATATCAGAAAGGTGAATAAAAGCTATGGTAATATTATTGAATATGAAATTATAATCAGGGCTAATTTTAGTTGAGAATAATTAATTATATTCTGTTTAACAGTTTAGGGAGCGTCTTATAGATAATAAGAACACTCGGTTTGTTTCCGATTTAATTGAAAATTTGAAAACAACCAACTAGAGTGTACCAGAGAAAACATTAACCCCCTCCTAAATTCCGCTATCACACTCCGTTTTCTTAAACGGCAAACGTGTGAACCCTCTTTTGACAGCTCGTCACATCTGCAATTAAAGCAATTAATTAAGTTGGTCTACCTTATCCCGCCAAGCCGCAAAACTCGAACTGTAAAAGAAAACGATATCCTGACGAACAGCATTCACCTTCCATCCACCTTCCACCCATCCCTCGAGCATTATTTTAAATGCCAATTACAGTTGGAGCCGGATGGGTGGATATAGGAAGAGTTCGGGCGCAAATTGCTGCAAATCCATGGCGGATGGCCACCATTTTCAAACCCAGCCGATTTCTTGCCATTTCCATTCTCTAGGTGAGTGGGCTTGTGTGTTGGCACAGGCATTATTCGTAACGAGCGACATGATCATAAAAATAAACGCAAAATATAACACAAAACGCAAACACAATAATGGCCTGGGAGTGCCTTAGTTTTTATTTTTACACCTGTTTACAAAACAAAGCAACAGCAACAGCAACAGCAAAAGGAAAAGCGAACGGAAAACAGAGGACTGAGGACGAGCAAATTTGACTGCGCCAGCACGCACACAATTAAATTTCCGGTACAACACCTACATGGGAATGCCCCGAAAAACCCTACAAAACCCTCGAAGCCCCCCTTAAAATACACTTTGATTTCCGTGCCACAATTTTCTCTGTGTATGTGAGTTGGAGTGTATGCAGCGTGTTTGAGCCATTAAAATTACGCCTAACGGAGTTACGAACACACCTAAGCTTACACACAAATACACTGAACAATATAAAAATGAATCATTTCTAATTTTAAAAATAGGTTTTATTCATATTTACAAATTGTATACCATAAGATCGCAAAGTAGAGCGTTGTTAAATTTTTTTAAGTTTTTGTATTGAAACAATATTATGCTTTTAAATTGTATACTTTTATAAGCCCTTTATCGTAATCGGCATATAATTACTACTCAATTGATTAAACTTGAGCAAATCATTTATTTGAAACAATAAAAGACGCCCTAATTAATAAATTTAAATTCATAATTGCTGCTTCTTGCAGTGCACAAATAGGCGACGTAAAAATGTGCGAGGCTCACGCGGCGTATGAGTATTTTTTTTCTGACTCACTCTAACTGCTCCAACACGTTTCATTTGAAATCCATGGCACGTTTGCTCCAACAACACCACCAGCACCCGGAGACACGGAGCAATTTTCAATATTCCCAACACCCGGTGGGCCGGTGGGTAAGTGGGCGTGGCAGGTGGCGGAAATAATGCGGCGACGACAATGCCAGAGTTTCTGTCAAAATTGGCAAAAATCGACGAAGGCGCCGCCGTCGCCGCGCTAACTAAAAATCAAAGGCGGCTTTGCCTACTTCGAATCCTTGGAGGGCAGATACGTGTGTGTGGGCCATAATATTTATGCTGCTGCACAAACACCGGCAAGCACTCCTGCAAACTTAGTCGCACTCACTGGCACACGCACACGCTGCGTATACGTAATATTTGCCCGGGATTATTACAGGCTGGCACTTGAGACGCGCACACGTCGCAGCCCCAATAAAAATTTATATGTGTTTATGTATGTGCCTGCACTTAATAATAAAATTTCGTTTAATTTCGAGTTTTGAATTTCATTTTTATGATTCCTTTCGCTTTTTTCGCATTCCTCCTGCTTATTTATTTTCCCTGCCAGGTGTTCTCCGTAACGTGATAAAAATTTAATTATATTTGCTGCGGAGGAGATTGGATATTTATTTTTTTGCTACTCATTGTAATTTGATCTTTAATGTTTTTTATTTTGTTTATTCGGTTGTATCTCATTGTAATTTGATTTTAACACTTGTTTTTGTTTTGTTTCCCGAAGAGCGATTTTTAATTGAGTTTGTGTTGGCAAATTGAGATTATAGGTATTAAGACAATTGGGTTGCGATTTATTTTTTTTACAAATCATATCAGCTGCTATCAAAATCTGCGAGGTTTCCAAGAACTGTAGGTCATATTTCTTACTGTCACCTGACGCTCTGTCATATGAATCACTCAAGAGTAAATCACCCATTTTGGACACTTTAGATAACCACATTAGTTCGCGAAAAAACCAATTGAGAACTAATCTTTGGCAATCTGGATTCTTCGAAACATCGGAAGAAGAAATATTTATTAAAGAATGATTCATGCACTCTTTAATTGTTAATAACTTGAGACCTTCACAAACATTTCCTGGAATGCAGTTCGGAGCTTATAAATTTCATTAGGGAAAAGCGAAAACCTTTTGACATTGATGTCGGCTTAGACTGTCTAAGGACTCGTCGACTGGACGGACTGTACTGTCTGCTGTTTTCCGTCTGATGTTTGTTTATCTCCCTTTTGGCTTTGCCTAATGGACGCCTGCCAACAGCTGGCAGGACACTTTGAGCAGCTCACCACCAACTGCTGGATCCTGCGAGCGGAAACATTGTATTCGAGTCAGGTGCGTTGTGAATTTTGCTGCAACAGTCATTATAATAATGCCACAACGAAGTGTGCTCGGAAATAATAATCAAGTTGGCCGGAGGAGTTTTCGGAGGAGCAGACGGGGGGAGCACAGCTGCTGGCACTTGATGGTTTCGTGTAGGTTGTGAACCAGCCAAGGCACTTAAAATTTCATTTAAATATGGACTCCTCGTTGAATGTGCAATCGTGCATTGTTGCACTTCTGCTGGCGCCATTGCAAGTGCAATAATCGCCTCAGATAATAACTTTAAGTGCATAATTTTATAAAGTTCCCGCTGGACCTCTAATAGCTATTCTTGCCATTCTGCGTACGTGAGCACATTTGCCTTTGGCTGGACAAAACCCATTTCAAAATTGAGTCAAGGCAAAGAGAAACCAAATTATTACACTTGTGCTTCAATCCTGTTTCTATGTTTTCACTTCGCCACAATAAGCTACCTAATACATTCATTCCCAAAATTAAAATAAAATAGATTTACTTAATGAAGCATACCAATTGCCAATAGTTTCCTACAGTTTAATCATATTTTTAAATTTAAATTAAATATAAACGTTAAAGCTTGTGCCCACAGACAAAACTGTTTAACCACCATTGATTTTGGTTGCTTTAAGTGACTAAATACCACTTTTGTCAGACGGTTGCCATAACATTTGATAAGTCCTGCAGTCTGTCTGTTTCGAGTTACTAATTCCAGGAATTCCTTGGCCTATCGCATTTGCGTTTAATTGATTTTGTGCAACTGCTGCCATTTAGCCAGTAAAAGTTGACCCTTCCGCATATTCAAAACATTTTACGCAGTTGTTATGCAATCGCATTTATCGCTAATTGTTCGCAAATATTAAGTATCCTTTTCTATTATTTGCATAACAAATCGTAGGCCAAAAGGCGAATGAGTGAGTGCAAAATGTTTGCTGGCAGAGAGTTTATTTGAATATTTTTGGAATAGCCAATTCTGATCAAAAGCAGATTTGCTCGAATTGGTTTTATGATAACCCTGTAAAACATTCAATTGATGCTGTCAGAATATAACAGTAAAATTTTGAATTGCAAATTTGGTTTGTCTTTGGCTTCAGATTTTTACATGATTTTTAACCAGAAATAAATTGCAATTGCAAACGACTAATATTGCTTGTTATAACAAAACAAGAATGGAAGCAAATGCTTAATAAATATTTAATAAGTCCTACACCAAGTTTATAAAGTGCTTTGAAAATGTGATATTTAATATAAATCGCAACAAATGTGGAAAAGTTTAAAGTCAATCAAACTTTTTAATTTTCATTTACATTAAAATTATGTTGGCATTTATTTGCTCTGCCATTTGTGGGTGTCGCTTAGCGCTTTTGATAAAAAAATTTGCATACAACCATTTTTCTCACTTCACTCTCCGGAAAAAGTTTTTCCTTTTCATTTGCATAACTCAACATCTAGGCAAACAAAAATGGAAGGAGAGTGGAATCTAAGTGATAACATTAAAAGGGAAAGTCACGAAAAGCAAATATGAATCATACGCCATGTGTGGCAAACGCGGTAAAACAAAAAATTTCAGATTGTTAAGTAAAATATAATTTGGAAGAATAAATAATTACGTATGAAATTATGCAGCAAGTTTCGGAGAATAAAATTAATGGCGGTGAACTTTTGGGTCATATTTTTATAAATCTTCATCAAATTTAAATTTGCCAACATATACATTTTCTGATATTCATTTATTTTGCTTGATTATCAAATATATTATTCACGTGCTAACACGTTCGCGATATCGTCAATTGTTATACTTTTTAGCACTTTTTTTATCAATAAATAATTGTTTGTTATTTGGTTAAAGTCTAGCTTACAAGGTGGCTTATTTGTTGTGTTTACAAACTCATGTGGTCAATAAACTCAATTTTCAGTAGTGTTGACTTTTTAATAAAATTTAATTATTTGATTATCCTGGAAATACACCCTTAATAAATATAACAGGATTACAAAACTACGAAAGTGTTAAAAGCTTGGCGATATCGTCAATTGTTACACGTCGGCTGACTTTTTGGCTCGTTTTTCAAGCTCCTAATCAAGATATTATCCAATTAACAGGTCCGAGATAATTGAGATGGCGTCAAATGCGATTCGGCCAGGGAATTGAACAATCAAACAAGGGGGTTTGAACTAGATATATTTTATTACAGCCCAAAAAAAAAAAGAGCACACCCAGCCAGGTTGGCGAGAGTGAGTGATAAGTCGAGCGAGGCGCGAGAATCCAAACAGCAAGTCACAATGCCAATTGAGGCTCTGATGTGTAAGGCAAATAAGAGCCGGCAGAGCAATCTACAATCTGCGATACGATCTCGAGATCATTATCAGTGGGATGAGCCGTGCCGGTGCTATCATTCGACAGTTGCGATTTGTGCCGCACAGACGTGCGATTAACTAAGTAGTCCGATCAACTAACTCGCGATGTATCCACAACTCGAAACGGAGGCTGAGGCCCTGGAAAATGCCACTGCAAGAGCTCTTCTACCAGGTGCCATCAGTAAACCCGCAAGTGAAGCCGGCAAAGCTCCAACCACGAGCAAATGGAAGAGACGCCTTCATCGACACATTCCCGTTTTCCAATGGCTGCCACTCTACACCACCGAGTGGGGAATCGATGACTTTATAGCAGGAATTACCCTTGGACTCACGATCATTCCCGAGAGCATGGCCTGTGCCCTTTTGGCTGGTCTTCCTGCTCGATATGGCCTATGTTCCGCCTTCATCGGTCCACTCATCTACATGGTATTTGGATCCATCGACAAGGTCATCATAGGACCCACCAGTTTGGTGGCTCTGGTCAGTGTTCAGTTCACCGTGGGAAGACCCATCGAATTCGCTTTCCTGCTCACTTTTCTAAGCGGAATTGTGCAGATCATTATGGGCATTCTGCGACTAGGTAAGTGTACATGCACTGAGAGAAAAGCTATTCATCTTAAATCATGAAAAAGTTTGACCCAAAATTGTAATTGTAGACTTTAAATTGTAATCCAAAATTTATCTTAAAGATATGACTTTAACAAAGCCAGCTAGTTACTAAAAGTAAAATCCATATATGAAGAATTTGATTTTCAGAGCTTTAGATTTTTAAACGCATTTAGCATTATTAGTATCCTTTTATTACGTTGCTTAGCTAACACTTGAACAAATTACATCACAACAAGGCTTTTTATTTTTTTATTTACAACCTAGTATTCTTAAAAAATATGTATATGTATAAATATATTATTTTTTTAAATAACTGCTTTGAATTTGCCAAGGATTTTCTTAAGTGTTAGGGTTCCGAGAACCAATTCGGTTACGTGTGATCTCACTGCTAAATTGACTTAAGTGCGGCATGTGTTACTTCCCCCATGAACTTGGACGCAGTCCGAGCCAATTGAATTGAAATAGATCCGCTTTAGAACTCGCTTTAAGCACCTAATTGAGTGTGCCGAGTGATAACTGTTGTGCGGTCTGACCATGATTAGCACTATTGCGCTCAATTAGCACTTCTTAGGATGAGATTCGATGTGTGGATTTGTGTGCGGAACTAGATAACATCCGACCAAACATTGAGGGGGTGCTACTGAACCTCTAATTGAAAAATGGGTCAATGATTAATGTCTGTATTTATTTACCTTTCGCTTACCGATTTTTGTGGTTGGTAATCAGTAATAGCTGGCACAAATTTTTGATACTCAATTGTTATTTAACAGAATTTTATATTCTAAAAAGTTTCCGTTAAATTTTATTTTCTGGCTTGAACAAAAAAGTGTCGTTTGAAAAATTTTACATTCATTAAAAAAAAAGTCATCTTTATAAAGAAACCTTAGAATTTATTTCGAAAGAAAGAAAATAGTTATTGAGTAGTATTTTAAATAAGTTCCAAAATGTTTCTTTTTTTAGGATTTATCTTCGAGTTTATCTCCATGCCAGTGATCAAGGCCTTTTCCTCGGCTACTGCAATACTCGTAATTGAATCTCAGCTCAAAGTCCTGTTGGGCATCAAATACTTAGTGGCAGGTCTTTTAAATTCGGTTGGAATGCTGAGTTCCCGTATTGAACAATCCAATATGGCTGATCTCACAGTAGGAATTTGCGCCATAGTTTTTCTGCTGCTTTTGGAGGTAAATATGTTTTATTTATTAAATATATTTATTTTTCTAATTTTATTTTGTTATTTAGTTATTAGATCGCGTGGCCAACAATGAAAAGCGCAACAAAGTTCTGAGGATCTGCTGTCGATATTTATCCACCTCCAGGAATACTTTGATTGTAGTCATTGCTGCAATTGTTTCGTACATTTGGATACAAAAAAACGGTCAAGTTCCTTATCATCTTAGTAAAAACGCCTTGTCCACTTTGCCGAATTTCACAATGCCCAGTTTGGAGATTGTTACTCCCGAAAAAAGCTACAATTTCTGGCAAATATTAAAGGAGTTGAACGTGGGTATTATCGTCATTCCAATTGTGGGCATACTGACGAATATTTCCATAGGAAAATTGAGTGAGTATGAAGGACTTTTTAAGTTTACAATTATAATTTAAATAAACATAATTTGTAGCCCCTAAGGGCTTGGTGGATACCAACCAGGAACTCCTTACGGTTGGCTTGTGTAACATGTTTGGATCCTGTGTGCAGGCGATGCCTTCATCGGGAGCATTTACCCGTTATGCCATTAGCAAGGCCTGTGGCCTCAGGACTCCCATGGCCAACCTCTACTTGGGTAAGTCTAGCGAAACAATTATATACTTATTTCGATATCTAGTGCCAGAATTAGTGATTTAATTTTTAATATAACTTAGTACATTGCAAACCCATTTTTGTGAAATTTCAGAAGAAGTTGTATTTTAAAAATTAAAAAAAGATATGCCAAAAAAAATATAAAAAATTTACTAATGATACAGTTTATTAGAGAATTGAAATACAAACTTTTTGAAAATCTGATTAAAATGGGAAAAGATAAATCTTTAACTTTGTGATATATTTTCTTGCCCTGCAGGCATTATTGTGCTGCTGGCTTTGAGCTACCTGAGTCCGTACTTCAACTTCATTCCGGAGGCGACACTCGCGGCCATCCTGATATGCTCGATTTTCACGCTGCTGGACTTCAGGCTGCCACTGCGATTGTGGCGCGACTCGAAGCGCGACTTTGCCACCTGGCTGCTGTGCTTCTGCGTCTCCGTACTTTTTGGCGTGGAGGTTGGTCTATTTGTAAGTATTGTGGTGACCGCGCTGCACCTGCTTTTTTTGTGGGCACGTCCCGAGGTCCGGGTGAAGATTGAACAGCTGGAGGAGATGCAGTACATCCGGGTGACGCCGGGCAACGGCATCTACTTCCCGGCCATCAATTATCTGCGCGAACGAGTGCTCAAGGCCTGCACTCAGGCGGACTTCAAGATTACGGTCGTGATCGATGGGCAGCGCATCAGCGGAATGGACTACACAGCCGCCCAGGGAATATCCAAGTTGTCCAGCGATCTATGCCGCCAGGCAGACGCCTCCAGCTCCACGCTTCTAATTCTATTCAGATTTCCGGAGCACCTGCAGCGGCTCATTGATCACACGGACAACCTGGTGTTCTGCGAGAGCGAGAACAAAGTCAAGGAGTTCCTCACCCAGGAGTCGCTGCGGAATGGCTACATCAACCTAAAGGAGCACATAAGGGCCTCCATCGATTTGGGCTATAAAATCGACATCGATTAGGTGGACACACTCGCCCCCTAGTTAGCTGTTTGTGTTATTTATTTAAGTTTAGTTCGAAAAATTGTCGTCGCTGGCTGGGCAAATGGAAATGGAAACGAAGGAAAAGTGGAACAAATGCCTTGATGGCAGCAATTTATAAAATCCCCCAAACCCCCCTGGAACCCCAAACCCCGAACTCCGACAACTGACCTCTGGATGAGAAGAGGGTTTGGGGGAAGCAGAATAGATGCGGTGCCGCTGGCGACGCCGTCAATGATTGCCAAGCTAATGGATTTCTGTTTACTTTTTCACTTAGAGCAGGCACCAAGGAGGAAAAGGAGCAGAAGCAGCAGCAGCAGCAGCAGCTGAAGCATAAGGAAAAAACAAGGTTTTAAAAAATGGCGCAAGAGAAATTAGAGAAAAGCGAAAGCGCACTGCCAACTTCTCTAACCAAAAAAATAAAAAAAACAAGGTGCGCAGGGAAAAACGAAGAAAACACAGTTGAAAAGAAACTGCAAGAAATTAAACTAAATCCTAGCGTAAAGTGGATCAAACGCAGTAAAAACAAGCCATGGCATAAATTAAGTTAGTCGAAAACGAAAACGAACTACTCTTTCGGCTGTAAAACACGAATATAAGCAACTAAGCAAATTAAATTAATTAAAATTCAATTAATATTTCTTACCTTAAATATGACTTTCACAATTAATAATTTCAATACCATTGTATTTGTATTAATAATGGTAAATAAAATTAAAAACATTATTTTGTAAAATAAATAATAACTTTGTAAAAGATTTTAATATAAAAATTTCCATTAACAAAGATTCGTTTTTATTATATAATTAAGCATAATTATAATATTGTATCAAAACTCAGAATAAAAGGTTAAGGACATTTATTTCCCAGTTATTTTTAAAAGCCAACTTCAGCATTAGTTTTCAAAGCAATTGATTTGCTGCATTTTATAGAGCATTGAGAAGAAAGCCATGACATCCAGAGCAAGCCGAGTTAATTACGTAAGGTTAAGAGAGAGCGAAAGAGAGGGCCTAAAAGAATGAGAGCGAGACGGCAGGCTAGTTAGAGCAACTACGACTGGACCAAGTCGGGATTCTAAGTAGATTTCAAGCACTTGAGGCGGTGTAAATGAAATGCGGTACTTCCCCTTCGCAGGACCTCCCATCTTGGCTGTTGTTGATTGCATTGGCAAACGAAGTGAGCAGATTTAATGAAATTTAAAACGCTGTCCGGAACTTGTCCGAAGGAAGGAGGAAAAGCGAAGGGTCTAATGCGGTTGGCCGAATGCAGATTTGCAAGGTGGCCAAGTCAGGACCAGGCCAAGATCCGGGGCCAAATGCAAATTTCCAGCCAAAACGTTCGGACTGTTAATTATTTCAATGGACTGACGACTCACTCTATTTGCAAATCCTTTCAACTTGCCGGGCGATTTTCTGCATTGTTAGGCTAATGAGAATTTTAGCTCTCGGCATTTGCAAGTAGAGCATAAGAAATTAGGGAAAACTATAATTAATATGCTAATCAACCAATTGAGGGAGAAATCACTTAATGGCCAAAACCATTGACCATAACAGCGTCAATATCCTGGCCATATCCATGTCGACTGGCCGCAAAAACCAAACATCATTCAAATTGCGGTCCATGCAATCAAATTTTCCCACACGACAAAAAAAACCGTACAAATTATCAAAAGCGTAACAATTTTTGAGTTGCATACTTTTGCGGTCGCCGGGGAGATCAAACAGAACTTGTTGACATAACCCCCGCCCGATTTGGCCGATACCCGTGAAGAGCAAACATAAAGCCAAAACAAGCCAAACCGCATTTGTTCCGTGCCTGTTTATTGCTAAATGTGCAATTCTTTTTTTTTTCCATATTTCCTGATGCAAAATGGCTAGCCGAATGCATGTTTTCCAGTATATCGTCGGCCGGTCTAATAATATTTATTTTCACATGCGGTTAGCAGCATGCAAATCATTTGCTCTTTGTGCTCAGTCAGGTTAAATTCATTTTAGAAAAAAACTTTCTTTGTTCAATTTCAGAGAGCAGAAATGTTAGGGAAAAAACTAAAGCCTTTGTCTGGACTACTGAAATGAATTAAGTAATCAATATTTTTTTTTTGTTTTTGGATGCCAATTCCAAAGAGGAAAAAGACACCCGGCAAAAAATACAAATTAAATTTTCATATGAATTATTTTGCTGGTCACGTAACAACGGAGGTTGGGGTTTTACGGATGGGACATGCGAAGTGGGTTCCCAGTGGGGAATTGCCCATTGATACGTATTATGTGACTGGCTGACCAAAGCACTGACCAAATTTCATTTCCTCGACATCCCATTCCCCAGGTTTCTTTTTTGGCAGCAACTTAATTGCTTCGCCTACGTCAATGCGACAAAACGGCAAAAGACATAATTAATAGCAGCGAGGGTGAAGGGGAGCCCAAGTCTTTCGTTTATCGATTTTCATCCCGAAAAGGAACTCCGCCAAAGGCAAAGGACTCGTCTGAGACTCACTCAACTCGCTGGCAATTGGCCTTTGGCCATAAAGCGTTTTAATATGCGCTAAAGTAGTCAAAGCTTAATGGTTGAATGGCGGAGAGGTCGGTAAATAGGGGGAAATGCGAAGTAAACAGCTCCGTGTTTGCCTGCTTAAATTGTTTAAAATGTCAACTTGATTGCGCCTAATTAAATGCTCAAAATCCTCAAGGACAACAGACTCCAAGCTGAAATTCAGATGGCAAACGGGGCATGGCAAACAAAAACTTCCGTAACAAGTACAATGAAAATAATTAACAATTTGTACAAAAGCAAAATGAGACAGCAAAATTGCTGAGGGGCATACAGTGATTCTTCGATTGTTAAAAGCAAAGTATTGCTTCAAGGGGTTGTCTGCTTAAGAGCCACATCGACTGTAAGACATTTAATTCCAATTACGAATCGATTTGTTTGTCTGGCAAACAAGGATCTGCTTGATAGATTGATTTAATGTTTGTGGTGGGAGTGCTAATCAAAATAGCTGAAGTTAATAAATGATGCATTGCTCAAACTAAATTGTATTATTTATAACTAAATTGTATTGTAAATAAACTTAATTAAGTAAACTGTCTTAAAAATAATTTTTTATTAAATAATCTCTGTAAATAAATAATGAAAAATATGTGTATGTCCATCCATTTTAAAATTATTTTCTTTTCAACTATCGATTATATGTAATAATATAAATAAGATACAATAAATTTTGTTTTTAAATCCAAGGGTATACAAATCTTACCCAAGCTTAAACACAAAATCAAATCCAAGTTTGAAATAAATCAATCTTACATTTGATAGTAAACAAAATGTATTTTATTTACCAAAAACAATAGATAGTTTAAAACATTTATTCAAGGAGCACGCTAAAGGAAAACACTTATCAATCAGAACGGCAATCAAAATGTTTGCTGAATGTGAACAAGCGGCACTTCAACTTGGCAAACAGCTGCCACATTACGAGTGGAGGTCTCTCAGATACAAGCTGCAACAGCTTGCGGCGATTGCACTTGAGTTGAAGGCTCGGTTATTAGAATCACTCAAAACGAAAGTGGAGCAATCAAAATGTGGCCTAAGATAAAAGTTAATGCCAGCAACAGTTGCACTAACACTAACTGAAACCCACTCGAATAAATATATACCCCTTAAAGATACTGAACACAGATGTGAAGCGGCTTTATGACTCCAGCCAACATTCACCATCTGCCGTAAATTCCCGCCTCCTTGCTCTCATTTGCTGCTTTATGTGCCACTCCTGGCTTTTCTTTTGTGGTTCCGGCTTAAAGCAGCCAAAGTTAAACGAACATCAAAAGCCAACTAATTTGGCTGTAAAAATAACATTAAATCACATTCAAGAGCAACGAATAAAGGATTCTTCCTCCTTTATACTTACAGCACACATATATCCGAATATATAGATAGAGGAAAATCGAACTCACATGTTCGGGGTGGCGCAGAGGTAACCACTGAGGTAAGGACACTGGGGAAACTCCCCTTTCGCTTTTTCGCCCCATCACGATTTGGTCTTTAAGCTTATGTTGCACTTGACTGAGTTTTATGCTTTGATGCTCAATGATTTTATTATTAAAAGCAACTTGTCCCGGTCCAAGGACTCCTCTCCCCAATGGATTTTCCCCTCCCTCTCCCGTCTGTCTGCTCTGCTCTGCTCTTCGCTTTTTTCGGGGTTGTCTTTCAGCCACCCTTGGTCTAGACTGTGGAAATTGCCAACGGCTTTTCCGGCTGCTGCTGATGCCGCTGCCGTTGCAGCACCTTCACCTTGGGAGTCGCTTAGCTGTCTAAATATGTCACTTGAATTTGATGACGGCCACTTGCGCAACGGCGGCAAACAAAAAGCAGGAAAACTGTTGCCGCTTTTCCACCCACCCACACACACCCACATACGATTAAGTTTCTCCCCTCTTTTGGCTGAGCTGTGTTTTCTTAAAATATTAGTTCCCTTTTCTTTCACTCGGTCCTTTTTTTCTTGTGTTTCGTTCCTGGCTGTGGGGAAATTGTTTTGCTGCTTTTTATTGTCATCTTTGTTATTTGTTATGGCCACCCCGCTTTCCCCCTGAGCAGTATCTCTATCTTTTATTTGCTCAGACTCAGTTACTGCTGCCTCGGGCCAAACTCGCACATACTCGCATTCGAGGGCCAAGAGCCAGTTGCCATGAATAATGAAAAAGCAACGTGAATATATTTCCATAGGTAGTTCGACGGTATCAGGATGGAGGTGGGTATATGGAAAAAAGAAAGGATGGGGACTGAGAGCACAATAGATACTCCACAAGGGGGGAAACTTCATATCAAAAAATATCCCATTTCATACATGATTAAAAAGTTTTCCCAAGAAATGGAAGAAATGAAACATTAAACTCTTCTTTACTCTTGAAATTGTATCCAAATAGTAATAAGCCTTGTAATTTAGTTTGACAGTGTAACTTTAGAAATCAGTAATAAACCACTGGCATTTTACATAAAAAACATATAAAAAAAATTATACATAATCAAAACATACCCCTTAACAACTTTAAGTGTATGTTTTCAATGGATAATTCTCCCAAAAATCTAGTGTTGTGTGTCTAAGTCCTTCCCATTCTCCAACCAAACTCATTTTCCAATGGCATTCCTCTTTTCCAAATTTTTTTTGGATTCAAGACAAGGTCCGTTTTTCCCTCGTATTGTTGTCCTTTCGATGGGTGCGATGCTGTTTGCATTCGAAATTCCTTTGGCCACTCGTTGATAAAATCGAAATCAGCAAAGCAAATAAACCCTCAATAACGAATCCGAAAGTGTCAATCGATGGGGATTCCATAACCGAGAGCTTGGGGCTGACTAGATAAATCTCGATGCTAATTAAAAGCGGACTGTGTAAACTTTAAATGAACTGCCAGCGCGAAAGGCCAAATGACAGTCAATGTCAGATGGATGCAAAATAAACAAAAAGCCAAGGAATATTTTTCGCTTAATGAAAAACTTGGCCCAACGCAACGAAAAGTTCAATTCAGGCAAATGTCAGCAACGACAGCAAAAACAACAGCAACAGTTTAGGGCGAGGATGAGACGCCCAAATGAAAAGTTTTCACCCCACCCCACCAAAAGAAAAGGCGATGATATTCGGAGGCAGGCGGAAAATCCGAGGTCGGAGGACTGCAATTTTAGCCCCAAACCAAAGACAACCAAAATGAGTCCCGGATGTGGTGCAAACAAGAAAAACAAAAATGCTAAACCAACAAAATATTACAACAAGCCGAGCAAGAGATGTTGCTGTTGGCCCTCTGTTCAAACCGCAATACAGATAAAGGCCAAATTACTTTCTGGCCAAGAAGCTGCCGCCAAGAACCGCAACTTGAAAACCATCGGACAAACAAGAACCCAACCGAGGGTCATGTCGTACTTTTCGATGAGTTTACGGGCGGCGATCCTTCGGGGAAAACTTCACCGCCAGCTGGAAAGCCGGCCCAGGGGATCGGAAAAGCGAAAAAGTCCGAGTGTGATTCATAAAGATTCTGGTTTAAGGAGTCTAGAGAAAGCTAGGGAATCAAACTTAAAGGTATAAATAATACCGAACACTATATACTATCTAACTACAATGTTTCTAAACATTAGTTTATGATAGCTTTACAAATCTGTTATTTCGTATTTAAAATAAAGTTACCACTAAAAAGATTTCTACATGCAATCAAATAATGTAGTTCCAAAGTAAAAAATTATAATCCGGAAATATTTTAACATTTGAGGTCAAGAAAAGCAGAAAAACATAAAGCCACACTAAGCCCAATCCTAATCACTATAAGAATTTCAAACTTTCTTCATGCACTTCGATTAGAAAAGTTTTGCCTTCGAGCTTAACCCGAGCTAAAAACTTCACCTGCAATAATCATTTGCTGTTGGCCATATAAAGCAGACATTAAAGTCACCTTACAGAGCTCGACCCGGAATGCAACCACAAAAACTGGCACACAACCGGGATTCGAAATCCGGCAGTTCTCCGTTGCAAAAACCCGTAACCCAGACAATGTTCGTAGATGGGGACAAGAAAACTTTACCATCTCCGGTTGGCCCTCTATCTGTTCCTCTGTTTCGGTCACAAATTGCAGTTGCAGCTCGGTGACAACCACAAAAATAAGTGTTTACAGCATTGATTACAAGGAATGGGCGTTGGTTGAGTCGGCAGTGCCACTAACATCGGCGGCACGAGCATCATCAACAGCAGGAGTGGCAAAAGTGGCAGGAGTGGCACCGTTTGATGTTGATTAGAGCCGCAGCAAGCCACAAACATTTTTGCATTTCTTAAGATTGTCTGCGGGACGGACTTCACTGAAAGTAAAGTAAAGTTCTGAGGATCAAGTTTTAATAAAAAGCAATGCTTACTTTTTGGCAACTGCAAAGAGTAAAGAAGTGAAATACCTAAAATTAAAATCACATCAATGGATTCATTTGAGATTCAATAGGAATAACTAATATAATTATTCAGCTCTTGCAAAAATCTAGATAAAAGCTTGAGCAGATCAATATTAGCAATATAATATACATAAAAATCCTTTAACACTGTTTAAATGCCTTTTTTGCGAAATCGGAATAAAACTTTGATTTCCAAAAAAGACTTCCTGGTGTTTTTGCAATTAAATTACACTTCTTGGCCTAAAAAAGATTATTTGATTCATTTTCTCCAGTATGGTTGCAAGTTCTTACCCCTGTTTCTCTCAGTGCACTCCCGCAGTCAGTTAGCGTGTCAGTAGTGCCAAGGGATTGACCAAGTCTGGTGTTCGTTGCGCTTTGGGCCAGGATGCGGGGCGGCATTGGCTGGTTTTGCGGGAATTGGTTTAGGTGTCAACTCTGCGGCCGCACACAATTGACAAACAGTGAAACCCTTTTTGTGGCACTTCCGTTGCGTTTGTTTGCTAGTTTACAACCCACCCACCATGCAACATCCATCCCCTCGGCGATGTCCTTGTGCTCCTGCTGCCGGCTGCCTGTTGTGACAAAAGTTTATACCCCAAGCATTTGAACTGCATTTCATTACGGCAAGGACCCCAACAACTGGAACTGCTTCTGGACTTGTTGGCCAAAGGGGGAAGAGGGGTGAAGGGAAAGAGGGCGAAAAGGAATACGGAATGCAAATGGTGTTGGCGCCATATTGAAAGCTCCACTTCCCCTCCCCATATCTCCTCCGATTTCCATTGCCCGCATTTGCAGCCGCAGCGTCAGTCTTTTGTGGTTATCAGGGGGATTTTGGGGGGCCGGGGAAACCCCCAACGAAGCGTATAAGTGGCCCTTAAACCAGCTTGAAGTGCGGGGGGCGGTATACACCCCCAACCCCCGTTTACCCCCCTGTGCTGTATATTGTATTGGCAAATATTCTCTCATGACAATAGGAATTTTTATTGAATTTATGCAAAAAATTGCAAATTTCATTTGCCACACCCAAAAAGAGTTGTGTTCGCAGTTGTGTAGTGGATGACAAAAAAAAGGAAAACATTTTCCATATTTCTGCAGTATCCAGCATGTTGTTTTTTGCGAGTGCGTGTCTAAATTTTGTGTTTATGAAAAGTGGGCGGATTTCGATTGGCAAGTGACACCGGAATGAAATGGCAGGAAATGCATTCTGCATTTGATTGAAATTCGAAACCAAAACTAAAACCTTTTGTTTTCCCCAGATATGCTTTTATTGACTTCCACGATGATATTACAACATATTAAATTTTTTATTTTCATTTGCCTCAAAAACTCGAAGTAAAGGTTAATACAAAATCATTCTTTGCTCTAGAAATCAGTTCTCAGTTTCTCTAGGAAAAAGTCTATGTACTTTTGATCCTTTTTGGATCTGTTAAGGACTCGAGCTGTGGCAATGGCATTATTAGATTCCTCTTCATTGTTAAGACGAGCCAGAGCTCCAGCTCTATAAAGCCAGGCCTTCAGATGAATCGGATCCAGCTTGAAGATCACGTAATCCAGATCAAAAAGAGCCAGTTTAAAATCCCTTTTTCTATTAATACAGCATTGTAGAAACATTCTTTATGTTTTGAGTACAACTTACTTTATTTTGGCCAGAGCTCGGTTGCAATAAAGAACTGGTGAATCCGCAACATACTGAATGGCTTTTGAATAATAATATATAGCCTTTTCATAGTTAGTGCGACGGTACTCCTCATTGCCGAGTCTATTTGAGTAGGGAATGATTACATTATATTTATAAACTAATATATCAGTTGCAAAATAAAACTACCTTCGAAAACTATCAGCAACATTTTCTCGATCACGTCGTGCTTCAGCGCGTTCCTTTGGCGAAGCGTCAATTTGACGCATGAATGATATTTGACTGGTGTTGGAGTTCTTGTGAACCCTTTTAAATGGTCGTGAGGATTTCTTGCGAATGTCTCGAGCAAAGACCACAAAACTAGTGTTGGTTACTCCCTGGGAAAGGTCCACTTCGGGTTTCTTTTCCTCCTTGCCCTTGGTACCAGTGCTAAAGGTTTAAAAAAAATATTAATTAAAATTACAAATCCGGTAAGGAAACTTCTGCTAAGGTTTACTCCATTTTATTGGCATTTTGAATGTCCTCCAGCTGCCTTATCACATCCATGATTAGGGAACGTTGAGTTAAAAAGCTTTCGTCAGCGTTCATTTTTGTTTTTATGTTTTTTTGGTGCTTTTGAATATCTGATAGTAAGTCTGTGAATTCAGTGTGTAAGTCTTACTTAGGTTTTTTCATGGCCAACTCAGCTAATCTTTTCGAGAAAGCAATTATCATTATGTTCAGTCTAATGCCTCCTGACTTCACTTCACTGGCTGCGCTTGCAACGTGCAACATGTGTATGCTGGCAAATTAGACAGACAAGCCGGCTGACATCTGGCTCGTTAGCCATGGAACAGCCTGTGGTTCCTCGGATTAGCTCAATTAAAATTTTGTGGCATTAAAATTGTCTTCCCAGGCGCCAGTTGCATGACTCCCTGTTGGGCAAAAATTCTATAAAAACATCACACGCCCAACCCCAAAACGAAAAACTCCCGCCACACACATTTTCATCTTTATTTGTGCCTGAAATTATTTAATTGAGTTTGTTTGAAAATTTCTTTTAAATTAAGAAAGTTTTTGCACGTGACGTTTTTTTCACTCTCGTGGTGATTCACAACTTTATTTGTCCTTGTGCAAAAGGGTGAGTTCGGATGTAGGATGGGGTTTATCCAGGGCAGCACGTGCTACCGGGTTACTCGGTAAAGTTTGTGTCGTTACACATTTTTGGTTTTTTAAATCACATCCAAATGATGATAATCGGATAAAGTCACACATATGCCAAAGAATGTGGAATTAAATCTAAATTTACTAATCCTTTGTTATCTTTCAATTCCAAAAAACATTAAAAAATAAACGTTCTCAAAACAGTCTAGGATTTTGGTTGATCAGTTTAACGTATTAGTTTTGTTTCATCATTTTTTATGAGCACGTCACTTGGCTGCATATTATTTTCAATTTTCGATTAAATGTGTCGCACGTTTCGTGGAAGTTGCTCATTAATATTGGTTAAGAGTCGCTGCAGCTTTTAGTTTCTCACCCCGAATGGCCAGTGGCACACTAACCCATTGCGTGTCTTGCAATACTTCTTAACCCACTAAACACCAAGATTTCTTAATCAAATAGCAATTATAAACATCTGTACATCTTAGTTGATTTTTAAATTTGTCATAATGATTATAACACTTAATATAGTGTAAAACTATTTAAAATGCGTTTTATTTTTTTTTCCTCACAAAGAATGTTTATAAATATACCATTTATTAATAAGTAAGCAATTTAGTATATTTGCTTGTGCATTTGCCTTTGGAGATTACTGGAAATATTTTTAAAGTTTTTCTTTTATTTTCTAATGGATTTTTCGGGCAGAACTCGATGATGGGTTAACCGGAAAAGATAGCTCCTCGGACTAAATGTGCGAACATGGCAAAAGCTTGGCATAGTTACAGGCGATGCTGCGATGCTGTCACGCGGACATTGATGACTGCGTTGACAAGTTGCTTTGGCAGCAGGACGAGGACATCAGTGACAGCCACAACAACAACAACAACAGCTGGAGCAACGGGAAAAGGAACAGGAGGCACGACAAGGACTTGCCAGCGTCTCTGGAGAAATGTGTCAAGCGCGGTGACTTGAGTTGCATAACCAAGCAGGAAGTGGCAAGTCGATGGCGAATTGCGAGGGGCAACTATTTCTGACTCAACTTTAAACTTCGCCTGCCAGCTCTCCAAGATTTTTTTTCCCCTCTGCGAAACTATGTTAAAGTTAAGGTTAAAGTTGCTTGCTTTTTAACTTTTGGCTGCGCTTCGCTATCAAGAACGCTGACCGCCTCCAGCAGTGCGACTTTTCAGCTCACCTTTTCACCTTTGAAGCGGGAAGAAAGATACAACACAAGAAAAATTGTTGGTGAAAAGCTGAGAAAGTAAAGGCCAAAGGTGCATTTCTGGATGCTCTTTACTCTTTTATAATAATATATTACATTTAAAGGATGCCATCCTTTTTAAAAACAAATTTTTATCCAAAAAAAAAAATTTAAGTTAAATAATAACTATTTAGGTGTTCCTGTTTCATACTTGGTAAAAGCTCATTATTACACAGTATTGATAAGGAACTAAGCTGCAACTTATTTTATAAAAATGCTTCTTAATTTAATTATGTTTTAAGTTGTGTAAAATATTTCTATAAAAAAGTTTTACTTTATTACAATTCTGTGATTGTGAATTATGCTAATTATGTAAAGGCCCAACTGTAAGAAAGGATATATATTAAAATGCTTACTGAAATCTTTAATAAATTTAAGCTGTCTTGCCTGAATAAAATTTCGAATTTTTAACAAAAACTTTCAAGATTTTCCCTTACTCTTAAATTAGTTGCAAACGCATTTCACAGTGCTTAACACCCTTCTCACCCTTACCCTTCTCGTTTTCGGGGTGCTCCCGGAAAAGGGCCTGTGCCAGTCAAGAGTTCAGCTCCAGCGACAGGCGGTATGAAGCCAAAGACAAGCAAAGATTATACATTGCCCAGCCGGCGGGCATGCTTTGTAAGCGAGCTAAAAAAAAAGGAAAAAAAGTAACAGAAAAAAAGGAGCAGCAGGGCGCGAAGAACGTGCAGAAATAAATTGCATAAACGCCGGCGCGCGCGGCAAAAAAGCAAAAGGCAAACATGTTTAAAATGTTGTTATTCACACACACCGAACAGAGCAGAAAATGGGAAAGGGGAAAGGGGATTCCCACCGCCGAAAGGATCTCCCAGTTCGTCCTTGCCCCACCAGCACCAAAAAGGCCTGCTTCCACTGAACTGACACAAAGATTTGCCTGCGCCCTTTTTGCCACATTGTTTGTGGGCCTTGTTCCTTGATTTTTAGCCACTTTCCCTTTGTACTCGCCTCTTCCCATTGCGCTATCTACCTCTTGGCGTGTTTTATTTACCTTGTTAACCTTTTCGTGTTGACAAACTGCGGAAATGTTGGTGTGTGTGTGTGCGATATGAAAAGTGGAAATCTGTGGAAATTTGTTATAAGCGAAAAGTGTCTCACTGGAGCTTTGGAAGATATAACACAAAATATTGAGAAATATTTATAAATCGTTTGTGGCGAGAATACCACAGCCGTTACCCACAAAACTTTAATCTTTTGTTGCACATATATTGTGTAGATTTCATTAAATTTCAAACGCAATCAAAACCGAAACGTTTTATTAAAAAAACTTAAAAGCAATTTGAATACACAAATTTAATATGCAACAAACAACACACAAACAAAATTTGAATTCATTTTTGGGCCCGGCACTTGCCGAACATACTCGTATATATATTTTTTAATAAGTTTATCAGGCAAAATTGAGCGAGTCAAAGGCAGGCTCATATTATACTTATCAAGTATACGCCATGTGTTACCCGCAGCAGAAGCAGCCACGAAGAGAAACCAAATTAAATGCTAAATTAAAAAATAAGATCAAAAGGATTTGGCAGGCTTGTGCGTAGGCTGAAGAGAGAGGATAATCATTTTTCTTTTTTTGTTCTTTTTTGTTTCGTAACTTTTAATATTGCGCTGTAGAATTTGCATTTGATATTTGCATGTTGAGTGTGCGCTGTCGTCCTTTATTGTGCGTGTGTGAGTGTGCTCCCTAGGACAGGATAAGCGTATTAACATGCAAGGCATATTAGGGATAACTGCAACACAGCTGACACAGACACACACATGAATCCAGGGACAAAACAGGACAAAACCAATAATGCGCATATTAGACTTGATGATGATGACAATGATGATGTGCCCTCTCTTTTTTGACCCGACTACCTCAAAGCTCTTTCTTTCAACACCCTCGCAATGGGTGTCATAAATTTTCCAATCGTGTAGAACCTTAAAATTTCGGAGTTACCAAACATTTTAAATCTTTATAAAAGCGAGAAAATAAGAAATTAGGTAATGAATCTTTACTAAGATAACAAAACATTTAAATTGAATAAAAAATAAAAATAAAATATTTTTATAAAAATTAAAGTTTAATTTAAAACAAATTTAAGATCAACACTATAAAAAACCAAGTATTTTTTCATTGCAAATAATTTGTTTCTTAGAAAAAAAGCTCAAAGCCTTATAGCGGTTACTGATAATTTATCTTTAAGGGTATTCCACCATTCGATCCCTGAAGCTTAACTTATTTCCAGCTTGTACCGCTCCCTTTGAAACTGATGTTGTTGTGGCCATTGTTTCTTTCGAATTGACCGCAGTGAGCCGTTGTCGGTTGCATTTTGTTTGTGTGCGCAGCCGGGCTGCATTTTGATGGCGGAAGGAGGAGCGGACCCAGATGTTGGGCCAGTGCAGGATGCGAGGGAGAGGGAAGGACTCTTTTCCGGACGGGGTCCGGCACTTCCTCTAAGCCAAAAACGTGCACAGTCTCTGGCAATCAACTTTAATAACATCACAGAATGTCAATAAATCCACAAAATGGTTGGGCCATCCTTGCAGTCACCGCTCGACCACTCCTCTCATCCCAATGGATCGGCATCCTTGCTGCAGATGATGATGATGATGATGATGATGATGCTGCTCCTGTCGGGACTTTTCCTGATGTCCAGCAAGAGTATCATTAACAAAAGGAACTGCGTGCTGCAGCTGACCGAAAAGAGAGGCCACAATGCCGATCCATCTCTCATTCCCCCTTCTGTTTTCCCCCTCTGCCATTCGGAATACCTCCTTTAACCGGATAAAAGGAACTGTAGCTGCTTATTGGATAGTCCCCGCTCCCTGTCCCCTCTGGCCTTTCCTACGACAAAAGGTCTGCAGCAATTGGTAAGCGAAAACCTTAAAGTCCTCACACTCAAATTATTGCTAAAACAGAAGCCTGCAATCCAGAGCAACAAAGGACTTGATAGACAAAGGCAATCATGTGTTGGAACTCATTGAAAAGGGATTAGGGTTAGTAGAAGGAATCGCAATCAAGTTGGGTAATATGGGTTATCTTGAAAACTTATTGCTTAAATTTAAGCTAAAAATTTTAATAGAAATACAGATTAAAGCAGCTAACAACAAGCAATTAAAAATCCAATGCTTTTATTATTGATAATCGCAGAAAACAAATCAAAAGCTGGCGCATTGATTTGACAATTTCAATTCACAATTAAATATTTAATGAATTATTTCAACTTATCGGCGCTGCAGCACTGCAAGCCAAATCCTCCAGTTTCAAA